GTGTGTTTTTACCTTCGACTGAACTAGATTGTTCATCATTCATTTCTGATTACATATTACATATTATTCTTCTCATTACTATTCTTGTCGGTATTGTAGTTAATTAATTTATTAAACTAATTATGCGATTTTCTCCACAATCTAATGCGGCTTGTGTCTTAGGTAGGTCTTATGAAGCCGGATCTCAAAAGGTCATCAGGTATTTGTCCACTGTTGGGAATGTTCAACAATTTTGTTAACATTTCTATTTGTTTATCCAGAAACAATAATTTGTAAACCCTTTGGCTCGGTACTATGGATGTCACAACTCTTCCACCTTGATTTCGTGAATCTGGAAAATATGTGGCTTTTCTGCCTACCCCCGAGAGTGAACTCAGACCACAAAGAGTTTGTCATCTGGTCGCCCCGCAGCTGGTTTAACCAACTTAGCTAGCCGCTGAGAAAAATATGTGTCTAAGCAATACACCTAGATCTTTTATGGCTTCGATCGTGATGATATCTGGACATGAAGATGTTCATTTCTATATCTCTCTCTCAATCTCTCTCTCTCTCTCTCTCTCTCTCTCTCTCTCTCTCTCTCTCTCTCTCTCTCTCTCTCTCTCTCTCTCTCTCTCTCTCTCTCAGTCACCCTATGTCTCCCTTCCCTACAAATGTGTCATGTTTTCTAATTTTGAAATCAGTTCTCTTTGTAAGACATTTTCTTTTAAGACATCTTCTTCGTAGCTTCTATCTGTCCAAGTGGTTCTCGTGAAAATGTATCTTTAAATATTCCAGATAATTTTTCTCAATCTGCTGACCATCAATGATTCATTTTTGTATATCACATTTATATAATAGTTTTCACGTGTATTGCTTGACTAAAACAAACTCAGTCACTTTGTTTTGTTCAGAAATTACTATTACTCATGCTAATTATATTGTTTGTTGAGGTACTGATTTGTATGCTATGTTATAAATGATATATTTCTTTGCATATATTTGTTAATTTTCAAAATTAAACTTTATATTTCTTGCTGTGATTACCAGACCACTTGCTGTGATTACCAGACCACTTGCTGTGATTACCAGACCACTTGCTGTGATTACCAGACCACTTGCTGTGATTACCAGACCACTTGCTGTGATTACCAGACCACTTGCTGTGATTACCAGACCACTTGCTGTGATTACCAGACCACTTGCTGTGATTACCAGACCACTTGCTGTGATTACCAGACCACTTGCTGTGATTACCAGACCACTTGCTGTGATTACCAGACCACTTGAAAAAAAAAGTTTCATCATAATCAACATGTTGATGACCTCATTCTTAGGTATTACATTGGAGAGCTATCAGGATTCAACAACAGAAATGATGCAGAAATAACACACTGAATTATACACAGCAGTCGTGACTTGGAGAGAGAAAAAAATATATAGTTTTGTTAACAGGCGATTAAGTCAAAATCGTGCAGTTTAACGCATACAATCAGTGACGGTAGAAGAGCGCAACTATTTAGGGAGTACTCAAAACGGTCGTAAATCGATGCCGCTTCTATTTTAGGGTAGTGCTATCATTGATGTACGGGGGATCGATGTAGGAATCCTCGCTTAACTGTGAAATACAATACAGTGACATTTGTGCAGTGACCCGTGGGTATAAATAATAGTACGCTTTGTAGATTTGTTTCTTCCTATACTGTTTACATTTTTGATGTTTTACCCATTTGGGTTGATTTAGCAGCGAAAAATGTTTTCTCATGTTTTAGTTTTTAGCACTGAAGGCTTATTAAATGCCTCAAAGTATTTTTTTTTCCCAATCTTTTATTGAAAATTGCAATTGCATTTTAGTTTCGGAGAGAGAGAGAGAGAGAGAGAGAGAGAGAGAGAGAGAGAGAGAGAGAGAGAGAGAGAGAGAGAGAGAGATGACGTTGATAACATTGTTTATCCAAGTCGTGATTGATATTTTAGCCTTGAAATGATAATATTCTGGCCAGACTCGTATATAGTCAGTTGCATCTTGCATTAGCAACTGTGGTTATTAGTTCTCTCGCGTTCGTAGACGGTATATAAGGATTCAATTTCAGGCTATCCTCCGAATAACGGGCACATATTATGGCGGCAGCAAAAACACCCTAACAGGGCCTCAGTCACATGTCAATTGAGCACTTCCGTCAGGTGACTACCGCCACCGCCGAGTGTATCTCACACGCCGCTACGTGCGGCATGGATTGGGGCTAAACTAGATGGCTGGGACTCACGAGCAGCAGCTTTCGCATCTCCTGCAGCTTTGCTCGTGATTCCCAGCCATCTAGTTCAGACCCAATCCACGCCACGCGTAGCGGTGTGTGGGATAATCTCAGTGGTGGCGGTAGTCGCCGGAAGTTCGCAATTTACATGTGACTGAGGCATTGTTTTTGGCCGCCATTATATGTGCCAGTTTTTCGGAGGACAGCCCAATTCCAATATGAAGGCTTTTCTTTGCTAGTACGATTATAGAAATGACACGGCCTCATAAAATGAAAACCAAAGAATATCTAGACTTTTTTGGGGGGAGGGGAAATAACCTGGGAAGAAAAGACCATGTGGAGGGCAACAGTTCATCGCACTCTATACTTTGTGGCCTAGAAAGTCTAATATTGCACAGGAGTGAAGAAATAAGGCTAATATCTGGGTAACCACTAGTATCAACAGTTTTAAGGCAGAGAAGATGGCGCTATATTGGACACATTCTGAGAAAAGACTAACAGAGAATATTTTAACCGGCTGAGTGAGTGAGTAAGTGTGTGAGTGAGTTGAGTGAGTGGGTAAGTGAGTGAGTGAATAAACCCCCACCACGACCGCACAACGAGTGATTACCACCCGGTGACACCGTGTGCTACCATTCGTTGAGAATTCCCCAGGCACAATTCCCACAAACCTCATTCAACGGTTAGGTTGTATTAGGGCTCCCGACGACAGCCGGGGTCGGGCTTTAAAACAACAATAACAAATGCGTCCCGTATTGGGACAGGGTTTGCAGAATCATAACAAGCTCAAAGGGGAAATGGGAAACCGAGGATTGGGAAAACAAGAACATTCAAAACAATGTGAAGGAAAACTTTGATGAGAGAAGCCACAACATTATAACCAACTTCCTATTGGAATTATCAGTAGATGTAAAATGTTATGAGCGCTGCATCGGGGACTAGTCACGTATCTAAATGCTCAATGTGAATTAAAGTCGATTTTTGATAAAAAATTAACAGCAAATGAATTTTCGATTACTGCACTCCGAGTATACAGTGTCTCCTTTCTTAGGTGTAGACAACCGGTTCATATACACTTGACATTGGTTATTAATTTACTTTTCAAATGTAATTAAAAGAATGTCCTGACATTTGGTTCCACATTTGTTATCTGGCAAATCTACTCGACTGTGAAGGTTGCCTAGCAACAGACGGCAACATGGGGAAGTTGCTGACAGGATTGTAAACAAACTGTTCAAGTGGATGGAATGTTTTTTGGAATACTATGTTTTGGCCATTTAGCATGTACCAAATCGGGTTTTAGAAAAAGACAATGTTTATAAATGAGCACATTTGAAAACCGGTCACGTTTATTATTTTACAGAGGAAAACAAAATGGGTAAGGTCACTCACACTCAGAGGATACTAACTAAACTAACTTTTTAACTAATTTTATTATTATACTAATTATAATTATAGCCTCAGTTATTTCACTTAACTATTGACTGGGTGCTGAAAAAAAAGTGGTATGAGAAATATCGACATTGTTATATGGTGCAGAATACACAATTGAAAAAAATCTTGATTTACAGAAGGTAAATAGGCACTTACGTAGTACTGAGAGCCTTGGTAGCTTAGTGGCCTGCCTGCATGATAGTCTTGAGTTCGAATTCTTAGGTGTAGGTATGGGGAATTATTTTATAATTGACCTGAACTGCCAGAGTAACATTGATACATTAACCTAAGAGTGTTGATTATCAATGAAAATATAGGTCAAGTATCATATACGTGAGAATGGTCCTTAACTTACTTTGCACTGTATTGTCTTCTTCACCCTACATTTGCTTCATCAAAGTGTTGGGGAGAGATTAAAGAGGTTCAGTGGGCTCTTTCTAACTCATAAAAGTTGGTCTTTTCTTTAAGGCTGATAATGATGCCATTGTTCCATCTTCTGCATGGCCTTTCCCTAGCTCTGTGTCTATTACAATTATTCAGTGTGGCTCTGTGAGGCAACTGGTACCAGGCATTCTCGTCCGATGGTCAGACCATGTAATCTGTTGCTCTTTAATAAACTGTGTGACTGTTTTAAGTCCTGTCTACTTCTGATTTCTACATTTTGTATTTTATCTCTTCTGCCAGCTCTTCTAAGACATCTTACCTCTGTTATGATTTTGTGCTCATTAGTTTTAGAATAGGTCCATGCTAGTCACTCTTAGTGCTACTAAATTGTTTCAAATCTCCTTCCATGCCAGTTTTTTATTGTTGCAGTCAGGATACAGAAAATAAGACCCTAACATTAATGTGAGTTTTTTTGTTGTTGTTAAAGTATAACCATTGATGTGCATTACGTGCATCAGGCATAAAGTGCTAAACCTATACTTTATATACCAACTCGCACTCATGGAATGGAAGGATCAACGTCACACTGGTCACCTTTACTTCCTAGGACTAAGGTTCTATAAGAACTCATGTGGGCAGATTTCGCTACCAGCTTCTTGAAATTGCATCAACTGATTCCACGAGGAAGACATCATCTCCTATTCACTTTCAAAGGATTGTCAAATTTCAAACAAAATAATCGGTCTGAATCATAGATGCACAAGATTAAATTTACATATTGCATTCTCACACATAAGGATTAAACACAAACAATTTGAAACAAAAATTACCATACCCTAATTTAAGTATTTTTGAAAAAGGGGCTTACTGTTCAATCACCCTGTAGTTTGTAATCAGTGTGACTTTTTCATTGTTAATAGTTTCTGTATATTTTATTCTTCATCTTCACAACAGCCGTAGTAGAACTGAACACCACGCTAACCTCTGAGCATGCATCGGTGACCTCAAAAACTAGTCTACTTGAAGAGGTGGCCATTGAAGTTCGAGATTTATTAGGTGACGAAGATGTCACAGCTGAGCAGGTGGCAGAACAAATTGAAGCAATTTTATTAAGCAGGATTAAGGCAGGAGACAAGGCAGCCAATTTTCAGTTAGGACTTCTGTATTTCCACCAGGTGATTATCATTTTTTGTCAATTGTAGCATAGATACAGTAGAACTGTTGGTCTTAATCTTAGTTATTAACTCTTCAACTCTCAAGCAGTTATCACCAAAAAGTAAACAGTTAAAAAGTCTGTGTAATTTAGAGTTGCATCATGAGTTAAAGTAATCCTATTATTGGACAGAATTTGCTTAAATTACAACTAGGACACAATAGGCAACAGAAGAGTGGGCCTCCAGAACATTAGAAGTGCATACTGTGTAAAGAAAAACTAGTGAATTTATTGGAAATTATTTATTGCTGGAAAAAAAAAATTATATCAGGCATACTCTAAAGCAGGACTATTCAAATAAGTTTACTCAGTGGCACCATTTTGAAAATAGGGATCGCCACGGGCCAGATACTTCAGGCCCAGCATACGAAGATAAAAAAATAAAATACAACTGGCAATAATCTGATGACCACTTGCTAGAATTCTGAGGACCAGATTTGGCCTACCGCCGCCTGCTGTAGAGTGCAATCATTTTACCAAATTGTACGCTACGGACAGAAAGTATAAAAATGATACATATATTTTATCAAATCAAAACATGGAAAGAATATATATATTCATATTATACAAATAAATTAAAGGTCACTTTACATGCCAGTGGCACACTGGCAATATGAGGCTAGACTCACACTGGTAACTAATCAGCCCTCGATGGATAATATGGTTAACCTCATGTCGCCACCTTTACTTCCCAGGATTTTGCCTGGTACTCTTTTAAGGCTGGGTTGACATGGGACATGAGGGCATGTTTGAAACAAAAAATAGAGCTCCTTGCAGATTTGAACCCACTACTTTCAGATCTGCAGGTGAGCATCTAGCCGCTACACAAGTGAGGCTACCATATATTTATATTATTTGGGACAAAGAGTCTGTTTTGGAGAGAATATTTTGTTTTCTATTATAAGTGTCCACTGGCTGTAAACTCAGCTGCAAAGTTCCAGTTGTACATCCACTTCTGTTCGCTAGTCCTGTTCCAGAACTTAGGTTTTGTCTGCACATCCGTTTACAGATCTGGCTTATTTGTATGCACACTGTTGGTTCCTAACCTTTCAGGCAGATGCACCCTAACTTTCAAGAAAACTACTATGGACAGTCCCCGGTTTGGAACTTATTTATAGGATGACCACAGAGAGATGTAGATAGATCTCAACCATTTGGTTCCCTGGCCTGAAGCTGAACTAACATTAACATCGTATGTGTAGTTTAACACCTCTCATCCTGAATATATTGTTTAATAATATCATTTTAAAAATAATGTGTTCTTAGAACCACTTGTATAAAGCTGCAAGTGTCTACAGGTAAAAATAAAGGACCCTTTTCCGAGCCTTCAGGCACTAGACATATGTGACTAGACTATTTTTATAGACCAATCGGCACTCGATAGTTGATATGGTCCATATCACACCAGCCACCCTTACTTCCCAGGACAGTACCTCATACCAGTTTAAGGCTGGGTCAACGTGAGAGCCAAGGTCGTTTTGTAAAAAAATGTATGGCTTAGTCAGGCATCTGTGGCGTAGGTGTTGTGAACATGTTTCATAATGCCAGGGTACCGGGTTCGATCCCAGCTGCAGGTGATTGTCTTGCACTGGTTTCGACAGTGGTACCATGAACTGACTGTCCAGAAAGTAATGGCAAATTACTGAACATAAAATGTGCCTTAACCTTTAGCACCCCACAATAAAAATTCAAATTATTTCCCTTGCCTCCCACCTTATTTTTTCACATTTCGCGTTTTTTATGGAGGAAACATGGAAAACACAATAACTTTTTGGTTTATGAATAGTTTTGCATAATTATTTAAACTGAAATAAAGAAATGATTTCTGCATACATTGATATGAGTTTTGTTGGTGTATGTTTGATAGGTGATGTGTGAGGACAGAGTGAAATGGGAAAAATGTAAAAAAAAAAAAACCAATACAAACATAAAGACTCACCAATTAGTCATGCAGCTCCTTACAGCAATCTATCTTGTAATTCACAAGAGAATGGTATCTCCCAAAACAGGGATGAGGGCACAAACTAACATGGCAAGTGGCACAGACATATGTCGTTTGGTGACGCTTTTTATGTCTGTCTGAGCACACCGCACAGTCACCAAGTGCATGTTTGCCAGTCTTCAATCGCTTTGGATTGAGAGCGGTATAGTGTGAAGCCGATATTCTAGCAGCTGGATCACTGGCTCTTCTACCATGGAAGCTGCTGCTGGCTCTAGGCTGGTTCAAAGCAAGAAGCCCACGAGCAATCTCCACACGGAATTTCTCCGCCTTGACTCGGCCAGGATATTTGGCCCTCCACAGGACAAGCGAGTTCACAAAACAAGCTTCTAAGAGATAGAAGTAAATTTTTTTCCACCACTTGCAGGTCCTGTGGGCTAACAAATAGCATGATAGTTGCTTGTCAAGGCGGTCCACACCTCCCATATGACGAGTATAGGACTCTACAGCACATGGCTTAGTCACGACCCGCACATTGGCAACATGATGTTTGGATCGGACGTGATTCTCAAAGGTGTTGTCATCGTGTGCAGTTGCTATCAAATTGAGAGGCCTCTTGTCACACCATGAAATGTAGAGAAGGTTATCATCTCTTGCAGTGATGGGGTGTTCACCAGCCTTAGGTTTTGCAGCCTTGACAGCCGCGGGTACTCCTCTGCGATTAGATCGCAGTGTGCCACAAGCGCCCGTCTGATTTGCGGCAAGCTCCTTGAAAAGGACTGGAGAGGAAAAGAAATTGTCCATGTACACAACATGACCCTTTCCATACAGAGGGGCAACCAAGGAAGTCACAACTCTATGTGCCAAACCTTGGGTAGGGTCATGGGTGTCTTCCTTCCCAAGGTACAGCTGCCAATTCCAGAGGTAGCCCGTCTTGGAGTCAGCCAGCGCCCAAGCCTTCATACCCCACTTAGAGGGTTTCATCGGCATGTACTGCATCAGATTAGTCCTGCCCTTGAAAGCTATCATGCTTTCATCAACACTGAGTTCCTTAGAGGGAGTGAAATGCCTCTGGAACAGAGGAAGAAGAGCATCAACAAATGGTCTAATCTTGAAAGCTTTGCTATACCCAGGGTTCCCTCGTGGTACAGCAGTTGTGTTGTCCGCGAGGTGCAGGAAAGACAGGATAGCCTGAAACCTGTTCCTACTCATAATCTCCCTGAACCCAGGCATCTCTAGCAGACTTTCAGTAGTCCAATATAAGTCATATGAGGAACGAGGTGCAAGTCCCATAAGGAGCGTCACAGCAATAAACGATCTCATATCATCAGCTGTGACTTCCTTCCATTTCTTGAAAGAATGGGACAAACTAGCGTCTGCCCCCTTCTTGGCCCTAACCTGCCCCTGGTAACGGTTAGTCTCGGTCACCAACATGTTCAATATATCATCTGTAATAAACAGACGAAACATGTCGACCTCACTAATATTATCAGGTAGGCCTATAGGTCCCACAACTTCAGAGAAGTCGCGAAGCCAAGAATGGTTGTAACCAGAGGGAGCACGACTACTTACCACCTCAATTTCCTCATCCGAAGAATATGACACACTGGAAACTTCACTTACGTCTCCAGACATATCAACTTCGCGACTGATATCGGCTGCAGTAACAGGCAAAATCTCCTCGTCAGAGTCAGAATCCATGAAGATTTAGGCTTCCATTTCGAAATCTCCTCGTCAGTCTGATAGTCAGAATCCATGAGAATAGATTTAAGAAGTAAATAGGCTTCCATTTCCCCGAAAGATGGTGGGACGCTCAAAACGGCGGAAGTCCAGTATACTCGACTGTGGGGTGCTAAAGGTTAACAAAAACCACAACCACCCAAAAAATGCTGGGGTTTGTTCTGCAATGTCCTGTAAAGGATACACAACTAACTAACTAACTTTGTCAGGACCAGAACCCAAGATGCAAGTGTTTATACAATGTTTAAAATGTCATTTAATCAGAAGCATTTGTAGAAAGCTGCTAGTGTTTGTACAATGTTTATAATGTCATCTTTTCAGAACCAGTTCAAGAAAGCTTTGAGGTGTTTCGAGCATGCCAAAGATTATGATTACCAGTCACTGTTTATGTACGGAGTCATGAAGTATGATGGTCTCGGCACTGAAGTGAATATGGTAAGAGTTAATCAACTCATTAGTGACAGTTATTCATGTTACATGAAAAAGATATGTTGATGATTTCTTTTACCACATTACAGTTTACATCATCATCCTGTCCCCTGCCAAAAACTGCAGGTGGTCATAGTTCCTCATCTCACACGATCATTAGAATCACAGATCAGGTCAGTGCTTTTGGTCTGCCTCATCCATATGACCAGGCCATCCTGGTATTTACCTTCTTGTCTTTCTCTTGCTCAATTTCCATCAGTCTTGCCAGTTATCACTACCTTCCCAAGTCTATTCCTTTTTTATCACATGTTCAAAAAAATATTGAGTCTAAATTAAAAATCAAAAAAAATATTTCAATAAATAAATCAGTCAGTGAATTACAATGAAAGATGGCAGCACTGGATGGGCAATACACAGTCCACACCCCTGGTTGTATACTCACATTTTGCAAATTTATAAAATCTGCCTATTTGCCTGTAATAGCTTCATGATTTCCTTAATCAAGATGACTAGAATGAATATGACTTGAGTGAAGATTGTTCAAACTGAAACAAAAAGAGTCAAGATGACTAGAATCAAGATGTCCTCGTTCCTTTGACTTCCTTCTCTGTAAAGTTGGATTGTTGCACTTATATAAATACATTTTTGAGCTATTTCACACCCCAAAAAAAAAAATTAGTTTAAATTAGTGCCATTCACTGAAAATGGCAAATTGGAACAGTAAAAGAGGAAGTGTAGAAGACAGTTTTGTTTGATAATGGTAGTTAGTAATTATTTAACATTAAAATATCAAGTATATGTATTTGGAAATGCAGTTTCATTATATGTAGTACTTTAAAAATATGTTGTTTGTTATTATTTGTATGTTTTTATTTAGAAAGAAGGTATGGAGTGTATGTTTGCCATATGTGCCTCAGAGTCAAGACTGGCCAGTCACCTGATTTCTGCTGCTCAATACAATCTTGGTCGTGCTTACTACCAAGGTTTTGGGGAATATCAGTCTGACAAAGAAGCAGAGAAGTAAGATTACTGTTTTGAACTCAGTAGTTAAGTTAATTAATTGGGTAAACAGTTAGCTAGGTATCTAACTAGCTAGTTAGTTAGTTGCTCAGTCAGTCAGTTAGTTAGTTAGTCAGTCAGTTAGTTAGTTAGTCAGTCAGTTAGTTAGTTAGTCAGTCAGTTAGTTAGTCAGTCAGTCAGTTAGTTAGTTAGTCAGTCAGTTAGTTAGTCAGTCAGTTAGCTAGTTAGTCAGTCAGTTAGTTAGTTAGTCAGTCAGTTAGCTAGCTAGTTAGTTAGTTAGTTGGTCAGTTAGTTAGTTAGTCAGTCAGTTAGTTAGTTAGTTAGTTAGTCAGTCAGTTAGTTAGTTAGTCAGTCAGTTAGTTAGTCAGTCAGTTAGTTAGTTAGTCAGTTAGTTAGTTAGTCAGTCAGTTAGTTGCTCGGTCAGTCAGTTAGTTGCTCAGTCAGTTAGTTAGTCAGTCAGTTAGTTGCTCAGTCAGTCAGTTAGTTAGTCAGCCAGTTAGTTGCTCAGTCAGTCAGTTAGTTAGTCAGTCAGTTAGTTAAATAGTTTATATGTTTATTGTTCATTTTTATTCAGCGTATTAACATCATGGCACACACGTGTAACCCATAAGTGCTCCGTTCTACTTATAACTCAAGTCTGAGTCTGAAGAATCTCAGCGCAGTATAGTTAGTTTATTTAGTTAGTTTGGTTGGTTGGTTGGTTGGTTGGTTGGTTGGCTGGCCAGTTGGTTGTGTGGTTGTTTAGTTAGTTAGCTAGCTAGTTAATAGATCATCCTCAGAAACATTCTACCATAAAGTCCATGAGTTCCTGGATTCACTCATTAGCATATCTCTTCGCATGAAATAAAATTCAATGAAAACAGTAAATGGGAGCCTAATGGCTTCAGTCTTATGTTCTTAAAGATCCCATGCATCATATGAGTTCAGTCATGGGAAGATTCAACAGTTCCAGCATTGTTTTGGTCAGTTGTTGTCAACCCCATACAGTACCTCCTCCTAAATGGGAGTCGTCTTCTTCTTCTTCTTCTTAATGTTCACCAGCTGTAAACTATGGTGGAAATATATGGTTGTTTGTCCACTTTTGGACTTTGGTCCTATTCCAGAATTTGATTTTCATGTGCACATCCATTTGACGGATCTGGCTTATTTGCATGTTGACTGTTGGTTCCTAACCTCTCAGGAAGGTGCACTCCAGCTTTGAAGGAAATTAGTCGCCTTGTACAACACACTTGCTAGGGAGGCAGTGGGTCTATTATTCCCCTTAAATGGGGCCCGAGAACCCACATGGTGATTAAATGGGAATGAAATGCTGTTTATATCTCTTATCACATGAATCTATTTTTCAGAACTCTGTGTTCAGTCACTCTTTATATCCATTCATCAGCAGTTACCCCTATTTCCTGTGGCCAGATGTACCTTAACAACTAAAATAATTACCAAAAATGCATTAAGATGGGACTGATAGGCTAACCTCACAAATGGGCTGCATGTTTATAATACCAGCATGTCACATTATTACAACAGGTGGTTCCTGCTGGCAGCCGATGATGGGAACCCTGCAGCAAGTGTTAAAGCTCAGAGTGTATTAGGGATGTTCTACTCCAGACAAGACAGTGATTTCAAGGACCTGAAAAAGGCATTTTTCTGGCACTCTGAGGCTTGTGGCAATGGTAGTCTGGAATCACAAGGTGTTGTATAAATAGTTTGGCAATAACCACTCCAGCATTTTTGCCTATCTTGTAAAAGATGTAACGGTAATATACTGTCAGCCACTGTGGCTGATGCATTTGCCCCTTGATACAATGGTCTGGGTTTAATACCAAGAAGTTATATGATTATTTTTCAATCAATGTTTCTGAGGGAGCCATGGTAGCATAATGGCTAGCTTGCTGGCCCAAAGGTCAAGGGTTCAAACCTAGAGTGAGGTGCCTTGTTTCAAAACTGACCTATCTCCTAGGTCATTGCAGCCCAAAATGGGTGCTAGGTACTGTCTAGGTAAGTAAAGTCGGCTGGTGTGATGTTGACCATATCACCCGAGGAGTGCCAGTTGATGTAAAAAAAATATAAATAGGTCTAGCACTATATGCTCAATGTGCCAAAGCGTGGAAATGGTTCTTTAGAGCTGTGAGGTTGACCCAGCCTCATTAAAATGGGTATCGTACAACTTCCATAATTTCCTGAGAATTGTTTTGGCCTAGAACGACACTTCACATCCCAATTGTGGCATGTGATATAGGGCTGCCTTTTGCTTAAGTTGGTTACTGTTGCAGACTCACTAAGCCAGTAGCTGTTCACATTGCTAATGCTGTGACCCTTTAATACATTTCCTTATGTTGTGGCGACCCCCAACCATAAAATTATTTTCGCTGCTACTCAATAACTTCAGTTAATAGGTGTTTTCCGATAGTCATTGACGACCCTTGTGAAAGAGTCATTCGACCTTCAAAAGGGTGGCGACCCACAGGTTGAGAACCGCTGCACTAAGCCTGGTGAGAAAGGTGAAGACAGGTTGGTTTTTTGCAGAGTGGCATGCATCACCTCAGAGGTTGTGAAAAGCTGACTTCTTATGAATCTTGTCTCTAGGGAATGCTGGTATGTTAAGAAATGAGCAGGTGGACAGACTGGAGGTTTCTTCCCCACTGAATGGTAAAATGATACAGGATGAGGTGGATGACTTCATGGTCATAGGTCAGTTATACAAATTTGCACCACTGCAGATTCAAGCCCAAACCCTTTGAGCTGTTTGCAAGCCTCAAGTCACTGCACACTGAAGCTACCCAGACATCTGTGAGAGACCAAGCCTGTAGTCACTACACTACCAAAGCTACCCAGCTCAGAGGGACCAAGCCACTTGTCACTACACTACCAAAGTTACCCAGACAGCTCTGAGGGACCAAGCCACTTGTCACTACACTACCAAAGCTACCCAGACAGCTCTGAGGGACCAAGCCTCTTGTCACTACACTATGTAGGCTAACCAGACAGCTCTGAGGGACAAGCCTCTTGTCACTACACTACCAAAGCTACCCAGACAGCTCTGAGGGACCAAGCCACTTGTCACTACACTACCAAAGCTACCCAGCTCTGAGGGACCAAGCCACTTGTCACTACACTACCAAAGCTACCCAGACATCTCTGAGGGACCAAGCCACTTGTCACTACACTACCAAAGCTACCCAGACAGCTCTGAGGGACCAAGCCTCTTGTCACTACACTACCAAAGCTACCCAGACATCTGTGAGAGACCAAGCCTGTAGTCACTACACTACCAAAGCTACCCAGACATCTCTGAGGGACCAAGCCACTTGTCACTACACTACCAAAGCTACCCAGACAGCTCTGAGGGACCAAGCCTCTTGTCACTACACTATGTAGGCTAACCAGACAGCTCTTAGGGACCAAGCCTCTTGTCACTACACTATGTAGGCTAACCAGACAGCTCTTAGGGACCAAGCCACTTGTCACTACACTACCAAAGCTACCCAGACAGCTCTGAGGGACCAAGCCTCTTGTCACTACACTATGTAGGCTAACCAGACAGCTCAGAGAGATCAAGCCATACAGGATAAAACTCTATACAGTGATCGCTGATCCTTCCATTAAACATTTTTTCAACAGGTGCACTAGGAGTCATCTATGGGCTGGGCTTGGGTGTGAAAAAAGACATGGATGCAGCCCATTTATGTCTGAAAGAGGCAGCCAATAGAGGTAATGTGTATGCAATGGGCAACTTGGTCATGCTGTACTACAAGTGCAAATTGTTCACCAAGGCTTGTAGTCTTGGGTATAAGTAAGTATTTCAGTTGTGCTTTTTGTATCACTTGTTGACAAATATAATAACAGACTGATCAGATAAGTAAAAACAGACTGATCAGACAAATGACAGATTTATCAGAGACTAACACAAATTCTCGAAGAGCCTCCCCTCATCTTGGTTGGCTGGGTTTTACTTGCTTCTCTTTTTGACTTATCCATGGTTGGTTGGTCTTTGTGGCCATTGTTTTTACAGGATGAGATAGCCAACCTCAAGCCCAACCCTACCCTTAGTCGCCTCTTACGACATGCCTGGTAGGGTGTAGTGTCACTACTCTTTGCTTCCCGTGAGGGCCCCGGTGAAACACAGGCCTCTCTTATTTTTACTGGCTATAGACTGGATTATGAAAACAGTAACTGCTAACACCAAGAATGGAATTCAATGGACCCCTACAAAACAGCTTGATGATCTGGACTTCGTTGATGATATTTCTCTTCTGTCCCATTCACGGAATCAGATGCAAGATAAATTAAATATACTTGATGCGAGATCACAGCAGCTTGGTCTGAAATTCCATCAAGGAAAGACAAAGATAATGAGAATAAATCAGGCAAATAGTAATGTGGTTTCTCTTAATGGCACCCCTTTCCAAGACGTGGAGTCGTACACCTATTTGGTCAGTAATGTAGAAACAGATGGAGGAACTGATTAAGATATTAAAATAAGAATACAAAAGGCAAGTGGAGCTTTCACAGCACTAGGGAATTTGTGGAGGTCAAAAGAAATACTAAACTAAAAATTTGTCATTTGAATGTCAAATCAGTACTTTTGTATGGAGCGTAAACATGGAGAACAACCAAGGCAATTACTAATAAATTACAGACATTCATTAACTGGTGCCTGGGCAGAATAGAGAAAATTAAATGGTATGATAGATTAAATAATGTAGAGCTTTGGGAGAGAACTAAACAGGCTCCAGTGGACCAAGAGGGGAGGAAAAGATGCTGCCGTTGGATAGGACACACACTGAGAAAACAGGAGAACAGCATAACTAGAATATCTTTGCATTGGAAGCCACAGGGGCATAGGAATAAAGGAAGGCCAAAAAACACATGGAGAAGAGAGCTGGAGAATGAAGATAGAAAGATGGGGAGGACATGGGCTTAGCGTGAGTTGGTTGAGGGCTTATGCTCCATTTGGGGATGGAAAGGCAGAAGAACACAAATTCTGACTGTATTCCCTTGTTTCCCTCTGAGTTCAGTCTTTTAACTCTTCACTCCCAGACAACGCACCATGTGTGACTGCATTTACATTTGACAGCAGTCAAAATATTATTATGCTCGTACGTGTTATATTTACACAGTATACAGTTAAACACCTAATAGAACATTGGACCTCTACATGGGTTGTGTATTTAGTTCCTGTGGATGTAGTATACCCATCATTTTTTTGCTGTCATTATTGTCCTATTTAGGCATCAGATATGGCCCCCTGAGACTAGACGAGTTCAGTCACTAGTTATGTTTATGGTGATGAAAATTTGTTAATCTCTATCAGTCTTATAATTGAATAACTTGGTAAAATGTAACCCATTTTCTAAACATCTCATATTCAGGTAAGGTTTATTTCTACTTAAATCCATTCTGTGCTTTGAATTTTAGAAACTGAATATTGACCCAAAGAAGAGGCAAACATTTATACTAATCTGTTTGTAAGCGTTTGTGAAATCTCCATTACAGCAATATGCATCCACAATTCTTGACTTCTTTTGTAGACATTACTAGAACAACAACATACAAGAAGCAGATTTTTTTTCTCCAATAAGATGACAATTATCATTTTAGAAATAATGCAAAAATGCCAGAAAGAGGAGACATACGTAAGCTTGTAAATGTTATAAGACAACCGGAACCAGTTCACTTATGCAATGTTAGCACCATAAACTAAGGATAAAATTGTTCATATTCTTAAAAAAAGTTTTCAAAAACGAATCATTAAAAACAAATGAAAATATCTGTGAAATACACCTAAAAAATAGAGGCGGGAGTTGTTGTTTTTTTTAAGTCAAAAGAAAGCTTAATATGTTTTAATTTATTTACAGATTATTATCATTGATTCTCTTGACGATTTATTAATAAAAATATTAATAGTATCTTATGTTTTCCTAATTCTGAAAATTGAAGAGTCTCCATCTTGAGAGAAGAAGATGTACCACTGCTAGCAGCTAAAACAGACTGTCTTCCGTATTACATGATTAAAGGCATTGCAATCGCTTGCTTTGTTTATGCCCGATGTCTGGCATCTGGCCTCAGTATCAAAGCTAATAAAGACCTGGCTAAAGAGTTTTATTCTAAGGTAATTCTTATCTTTTGCATAACTTATTTTGAGTCACATACATTAGTAATTTTGATCCCACTGTTCACTCAATATATACTGATAGTTTTTTTCAGAAACCGGCTTGTGAATAACATGTACTAAACATAAGTAAGGAAAGGTAACTGCTGCTGGCAGATACTTTCTTATTAGCCAACCACAAACAGGGAAAATCCACAGGTCACAGGACAGTCAAATATTTTAGGGGGTTGTAGATTAAGCGTATAATTTTGTTTAGGGTTAGGGTTGAGGTTAGGGTTAAGTAAACGCGCAAAACCCTTGGCCTTGGAAGAAATGTGCTAAAGCACAGAAAACACAGAAATTTCCTGCTTTTACCACCCTCTAAAATATCGGACTGTCCCATGACATCATTTGTGGTATATGGTCTGGACCCATATATTATAGACCAGTCAGCACTCAATGCTACCTTTACTCTTAATGCATTTCCTGGTACCTGTTTTATACTGGGTAGACCTGGGAGTTAAATTTAAATTATAAAAGTCCACCTTATTGCAGATTTGAAGCCAAGACCTTTGGGCTGATAGGCAAGCATGTGTGTTTATACTTTACTCTGAAACACGATTGACAACAAGCTGTGTTTAAGATGCCATGGTGAAATTATTGTAGCTTTATGAATGCCCTAAATATTGTTTTACTGTTCAGTAAATCAGGGGCTACTTCCACAAATAAAGTTGCAGTACATTACCAGAATTCACTGTCTCTCCTCAAGAGATCTAGACTCTCAAAGACTGCTGTTCATCCATCTGTTTATCTTATCCTCTCTCTTGTATAGCTGTCTAGTTCTTGCTTACCAGTCTTCATTCTTTTCCCTGTAGTTTTGTAAGAGGGTTTTGCCTTTTGATGTGGTCACCATATTTCATTTGTCTTCCTTTTCTTTTGGCAATCCTTTTTCCATTTCCATTTTCTCCAGAACCTTTGTATTTGTTTTTGATTCCATGAAAAATGGCTTGTTATTTTGTAAAGTAAAACAAAATGTGTATCCACATCTCCAGGTCCTTAGTTTGAAAAAGTAATAGCTTGCTCAGTGTGCGGATGTGTGCTGCTTGTATCATGCTTGGGTATTCATAAAATTAGATATTTCTTTTTTTTTAAATGTGATGTTGATCTCTCTATTAGTTTATTTAGATTTATGAAAATAGTTTTTCTCTTTTAATTTGTTTAAAGTTAATTTCTATTTCACTTTTGCCATCTTCTGTTACTAGTTTACTGTTAAAATATGTCAGTATTTATGTGTGTGCGTGTTTGCATGCGTGTGTGTATAGAACATAAAAAATGCTGACATTTTACTTTAGTATCACTTTTTTGTTTTTCAGTGCTACAGATTTGATGAAGACGTCTGTGCTATTCTCCAGCATGCTGTCCAGCAAGGCTCTCTATAATGATTGTGTCAAAGATTTATCCTTTGATTTTAATTACAGGATCTGGGTACATCTAAAGTGATCTTTAAAAAAAAAATCCAGTCTGAATATTTGGTCTACTTTAGCATGGGTAAAGCAAGGAAAAAACTAAAGTGTGTGCTTTGTAAATTTAAAAAAAATTTTTTTTTTAAAATAAAATAAAAGTTATTGTTCCATTTATTTGCCTCTATGCATTTTGAAACATATGGTGCCAACCTCGTATGTTTACCTAACAATCAGTGCTAAGTTAATGACGGGGTCAGTATCTTGCCATCTGCATGACTTCTCATGACATTTCCTGGTTCCGTTCTTCTCTTATTAATGTGGTGAGCATGTTGTGATGCAGTTTACAGCTTGTCTGTGGTACCTGCAACTTTTGGCCCAACGCATCTGATTTCAGTAAACCCCTAATTACACCTTTTACAACATTTTGGGTGGGGGAGCAGTGGGTCTGTTCTTGACGCTGCCCCAAATGGACCATGGAACTCATATGGTGTGTCATAATGTTCATTTTAGGCTGGATCATCCAGAGGTCTGTAAAATTTCACACACTGGGATCTCGAATTTATGACTTGTAATGTTCATGTGACAAAAGAACATAAAATCTGTTAAGTGCTAGTATTTATCTAAAAGAAAAGCACAGAAAAATTGAACACTTCAACCAAAATAATGTTCAATTGCACAAAAACAGAAACATAAGTAACAACTGCTGAATGAAATATCACACCACAAAGGTAATCCAAAAATAGTAAATAATGTTGAAAAAAAACTAGAAAATGTGTGTGTGCGTGCAAGTGTGTGTGTGCCTGCATGTGGTGTGTGTGGGTGTATGTGTGTGTGAAACTTAAGAGTTTATTATAGCATTGTCACTGATTATTGTTGCTTATTAATCATGTGTTTTTCTCCGGGGCATGCTGGTGTGTTAAGAAATAAACAGGCGGACAGACTGGCTGGCTCTGCACAACTTGGTGGAATACTGATGCATGATAAGGCAGATGTGGTTAGTGCCTTGTAGGAGAGCGTGTACAGTTCGAAGGAGCAGATGGATCACCACAGTCTGATGAAATTGATGCAGGAGGGGAGCTCGAGGCTCAGAGGACAGGCAAGACAGATGTTTAATCAGAATGGCACCATTAGTATCGGAACTCTTTGCTGGCTGCTGAAGATGGTGATGGAGCCCTTATGGGGATGCCCCAAATACTGGCGTGTCGAATGACTGACTGACTGACTGACTTTCTACCCCACCAGGACATCACACAAGCTATAAACACCCGATGACACAAAGTGCTACCATGTGGATGAGGATCGCCATGGAAAGTTCCCAGAAACCGTGTTCAGACAATTGGCCATATTTATGGCCTGCCTATATTGCGGCCCCCGGAAAAAGCCAGGGTGGAGCTTCAAATAAAAATTTCATCCTGAAAAGGACGATATATACACTTACTGGCATGTCGATTCTTTAATTAAATGAAATCAAATAATGTGTTAGACATTGTGTCTACTCTACAGAATTCTTTGTTTGATTTACAAGGGTCGACAATTACGTAATAAGACTAATTCCATTTTAAAAAATCATCAACAGTTGAAGATATAACCTATATTTTATTCAAAGCAAGCCCTTTTTGCATTGATACAGTGAGTGACACGATCTAACAAACAGTGGAACAACCTCTGTAGTTCTTCTGTTGTTATGGTCCTCAAAGTCGATGTTACAGCCCTTTGGATGTCATCCATATCATCAATGTAACTTTAATTTTGTGAGTAGAAAATAATTACAGGGAGACAAATTTGGGAAATAGGGTGCATGGTTGAGAACACACACTCATTTTAGGGCCAAAAATTCTCGCCGGTAAGCCGGTGCATTGTCATGAAGAAGGTACAAACCAGCAAGCAACTTCTTTCTTGCCTAAATCTTGCACTTAAATTTTACAAATGGTCTCTCTATTAATACCAAATTCATTTACCATCATCCTCACAGTTAAAAAAATGATCTTCTTGTATCCGTTCTCTGACTTTTGCAATGAGATCCTCATTAGGATCAGAAATTTGGTGTCCAGGTCTAGTTGCATTAGTAATCACTTCCACACAACTTTTGAAACATGAAGACCACCTGAAAATCTATGCACAAGATGAACAATTATCCCCATAAACTTGTTGCATCAATTCAGCTGTCTCAGTGGCGCTTTTTCTCAGTTCTAAAAAGAATTTAATGTTGGCTTTTTGCTCCATGCTGATTACGTAACAATACACCTCTCTCTAGGTCAACAAAATGGTGGCTTATTAGCTGTCTGCTTATCAGGCAGCAATGAAAAGTCAGCATTGATTACAGGCAATGAAATGTAGACGCATTCATAACCAGTGCCCGGTTAGTTTTACGATAGTCTCCTCAGAGGAAATAGGTCATGTTTCATTGATAACTTTGTTGGACTGGTCTACTTTGCTGGACGTTACGGGTGTGCTGCTCTGTTGTCTGCTTTCTGGGATGTCTTGTATTTGCGTTTTTATTCCGAGAAAGAGAATGCCTATGACATAGGTTTCATCACTCTCTAAAGGGGTTTTGTGTTAGACCCAGTTTTGCAATGTTTTTGGAGTGTTAAAGGGGCTGGCGTTCTGAAATATAGAAAACGCGATATCAACGGCATTGGGGAACACCCCCATCACCTTGTGCCAAGTTGCGTGGCTCAAGGTCGCCCAAATCAGAAGTGAGCTTATGTGTAACCCTGTGTAAATGGGAAGAGCAACGTTATTTTTACCTTGGTGCCATAAAGGAGTAATCACCGTCGCTTATATTTCGCTCCCCAGCTTTGACAGTGACATCCCCTTCCCCCCCCCCCCCCCCCCCCCACCAGGAAGAAAATATATCGCCCCATCCCATAATGTTATAGTCTAGAATATGTGAAATACTAACACTTCACACCTCAGCAGTAACAAAATGAGGCTAGGAGGCCTTTACTTAGCTGCACGAAAGACACCTTCTGCAACACCCAGCAATATGTCCTGGGTATACCGACTCTGCCCATCAGCCGTACAGAGAAACAGGTCAAGGCATACCTGAAACCACCCACCATACAACGCTAGAAATAATATAAAGGGGAAGCGTCTCAGAAGAGGCATCTCCCGGACGTCCGAGGCTGAAAATCAGATCCAGCAGGCATGTGACCTAGACGAGATCAGTCGCAGACAAGAATGGACGAAATCATCTGTAGACGTGCATGACCTGTCTAAGGTTGTCATACCACTGGAAGGTACTGAGGAAATCCGATAACTGTCACCGTAGAGATCTAGATAAAGGCAATGATAGATCAGCATTCACGCTCAGCAGACGTCGTCATATGTACAGGATGTCAGGACGTGTGTGTCTATGTGTGGTGTGTTTACCTACACATATGTATGTATATATATATATATATATATATATATATATATATATATATATATATATATATATATATATATATATATATATATATATGTGTGTGTGTGTGTATACACACACACACACACACACACATGCATATATGTTGAGTTGAATTGAGTTGAGTCCAGAACTGACATCACAGCACTCGGGGCATTCCCATGCATGCCTCATCTTCAGCAGCCAGCGCAGAGTTCCAATACTGATGGTATAGGTCACAATCTGGTCATATATCTGGCTTGCCTATCCTCTAAGTGTAGTGAGCCGGCCAGACCCTCAGGTTACACCCAGTTACCTCATTCTCTCCAGGCCATAATAATCTTCTTTCTCTACTGATTTTGTTGCTTGTTCCCAAAGAGCCTTGACCACATCTGCCTTGTCAACATATATGTGTGTATATATATATATATATATATATATATATATATGTGTGTGTGTGTGTGTGTGTGTGTGTGTGTGTGTGTGTGTGTGTGTCTATATATATACACAAACATATATGTATCTATGTGTATGTGTATATATCTATATACACACATACATATATTTTATATATATATATATATATATATATATATATATATATATATATATATATATATATATATAGGGCTGTACCGAATATTCGCCGAATAGTGGACCTAATAACTATTCGGTATACTTGTGGTCGGGCCGAAAACGAATAGTGGTTATCTTACACCCGTTTCTGGACAGGTGGGAAATAAACGTGTCAAGATTTACCCCCTTGGTTCATACTGTCAAGAGTTATCTTTGTGAACCACCTACGAGCGTACCAAGTGAACGTCTGTTTAGTACAGCTGGAGAAACCTTCATGCTAACAACATGGAACGATTGGGTTTTTTTAAAGCTTATGCCGCTTTCATGCATTAACTAAGCTGTCAGTGATAATTTACAAGTTAGGTTGCTTGTTATAAAACTAAGAATACTTTCATTCCTAGGTATTAGTTACCACATACTGACTGACTAAAGGATGCACAAAATTTAAATGTTTTTAAATGTTTACTATTCTGTATTACATTGTGGGAAGTAAAATTTTAGCATACATTTGACATTATGAATGGTTTTTTAAAGATCTATTTTATACACTATTCGATAGTGGAAGAATGGGCTTAGTTAAAAAGTGGCAAGACAGAAGTAATGGTGGTATCAAAGAAAACAATTATTCCTAAATGTGTAATTAAAGTCAGTGGTGTTATTTTGGGACAAGTACAGACATTTAAGTATCTGGGTACATGGATAACATCAGATGGAAGATGCATTACTGAAATAAGAAACAGAATAGGACAGGCAAAAACTGCATTTTATAAAATGAAGAACATCTTATGCAATATATCTTTGTCATTAAAGGTTAGAAAAAGAAATCTTGCTAGCTACATACATCCAGTTTTAACATATGGCTGCGAGTCCTGGACAGGCAGGCAGGCAGACCAAACAATTTCTTGAGGCTTCAGACATTTGGTTTTACAGCTACCTTGCACAGCCACACAAAAAGCAATCAAAAGCTTTTAAAAAGGCGGGAGCCAGAAGACAACTAATCACAGACATCAGAAGGAGACAGTCATCGTTTTCGGCCATGTTATGAGAAAAAGGAAAATGGAACATGTGGTGACCACTGGAAAGATCTGTAGACGAGGGATAGAGGAAGACAACAAGAGAAGATTCTTGACAGTCTTGTTGCATGGTATGAAGGAGATCGCAGATGATAATACACTATTCGTATCCGTATTCGGCCGAATAGTTGGTCCCTCAATTCGTATTCGGCAGAATAGTGAAAATCCCTATTCGGTACAGCCCTAATATATACATATATGTATGTATGTGTGTACACACATACATACATATATATGTATATGACACATATATATGCATATCTATGTACAAGTGTGTATATTTATACACACACACACACACACATATATATATATATATATATATATATATATATATATATATATATATATATATATATATATATATATATATATATAACACATATATGTGCATATATGTACGAGTGTGAATATGCATATACACACACATACACATATATATAGTTGCCCATCGTATTGTTAGCAACAGATATAGGAGCCTAAGATGTTAGGATAGTTTGAGCAGCTTCACAACCACCGTGCTGCTACTGCCAGAAATGTTCACTCAAATTTTACAAAGGAAACTAGTAACCAGTGACGTGTTTAGGAAGTTTTCATGAGTTAATAACAGAACCGAGGTCATACAAGACCGGGATAGAACCAATGCTGAATTACCTTAAAGGGGTTTAAAAAAATAGTTTGACAAAAGGACAGTGAGAATAGAGAATGCATTGTGAAGTGGTAGCATACCATACAGTGCATAAGCCCAAAGATAGGAGCGACGTAGAGCTAGAGTTAGTATGTGTGTCGTTATTTTTTTTACCGGGACGGTTCCATTTTTGAGGGATGCCTTGCCGTCGTTTATCACATAATATGAAATCTTTCAGTAAAATTATGATTCGTACTTGTCTGTACACCGTACTCTCTGTGCTCTCTGTTTACGGTGTTGACTATTATTATTACGATCCAACAATTTGTACTAATATACAGCCAGGATTGTGGGTGAGTACTAACATCTAATAGGAATAATAGCGTTAATTTCGCTTGTAAAACTACCTCTTCAGTGTAGTGTTACTTTGTTTGCATTATTATGGTGAACTTTGCTTTCTGATATATTTTTTTTTTTTATTTAAAAAAAAAGGGTACTGAGAAAAGAAAATTATTATGAACTTTAAGTAAGAAATAAACCATGTTCTTTGAGTGTGTGGTTCCAAAAAAGCAATGAGGAACGCCGAGACGATTGAAAGGTTCAGCGCTAAAAGAAGTATAGGCAGACCAAAATAGGATATACCTGGTGGTTTTGGCGGTGACTGGGGAATATCGTCAATATGATCTATCCAGAACACAAAGGGTCGAGAATCGTAGGGAGACATAAACTCCTGCGCATTTGTCGAGACGTTTTATTAAGATTGTAAGTCTGTAAGCATCGGCAGTGACTATTGCTGTTTTACCCTGATTCACCTTCCTGCACATTAGCTCTTTGTCACCCCCTTGTGGGATGCAGTTTTTAGTTATTTTGAAGCCCCACCCTGGCTTTTGTCAGACCCCGTAAATATAGCCAGGCCTTAAATATGGCCTAACGGCTGAGCGGGGTTTCAGGGATCTCTCCACAAGTGATCCTCGTCCGCATGGTGGCACTTTGTGTCACCAGGTGTTTATCGCCTGTGTGATGTCCTGGTGGGGTACAACTTATCTTACCTATTCCTTCACCTCCCTGCAGATGCAAATGTCTGGTTACCATTAGTTCAGTTCTTTGCCATGTAGTAAAAGTCGATGGTTAAGCACCAGCAAGGAAGTAACAGTCAAAATTGTGAGATCGCTGAAGCAACACACTGATGTGAGTCATTGACTATTTATCGGTTGTTAAAGAAGAGAATAAAGGCTTTTGGGCTGAAAATGGTATCAAAATACCATTGACAAAGAAGAAGAAAAAATACTGACATCCTAAAAGATCTAAATATCCTCGGAAACTTAAATATTTTGGACATATAAAGGGCCACGTCGACCGTAAAAGAACAGTAGCAGAAAGCAAGGTGCCAGGAAAGCGGGCAGGGCCCCTGCCGGCGCAAATATGGGCACATGCTGTAACTGGCAACTTGAGTAGGAAGGTACACGAAGCGGGACAGGTGGCGAGAGACCTAGGTTTTTTCATGCTCACCTTGATGAAAGCCAGGCTCTGCAAATGACCTGCTACATAATGATAATGTAGTGCAGGGCTATTTCAGTTGGCGGCCGGCGGGCTAAATCTGGTCCCGGAGGTCTTGCAAGTGGCCCGCGAATTCTTGACAAATGTATTATGTTCTTCTTCTTCCTTCGTTCGCTTGAAATAGATTTTCAATATCTGCAATGTTGTCTCTAGTATTTACTTCACTGTCTGTTGTAATTGACTCAGCGACCCGTAGAGTTTGATTTGAACCGATGTTTCTCATGGCCAAAAGTTTTGCCTTGATTTGTTGTATCTGGGACAGTGTTTGGAGGACGTGATCTGTTGTCTCGGGTGCTAATCCACATGTGCACATGGCTGATTCGCCCATTTGAATGTTTGTGTAAATGTGGCTGCGAAGTCCACTGTGTGCTGTTCTGGGGCGTAGAATAACAACTTGGTCTGGTCTGTCCATAAAATGATAATCGTCTTGTCACGGTTTTGGTGGCTTTCTGATTGATTTAATTATTCTCTTCTTTTGTTGATAAAAGACTGGTACGTCAGGCTGTTCTTCATTTGCACCTTCTTTAGCTAGTTTATCAGCTGTTTCATCGTGGTATTATATTGATGATCTTTCTATGCTTGGCAAGGGACTCTGTTCAGTGACGATTCCCATGTCCAACATTTTGGCCTCTGCGTAAACTTAGTTGAAAAGCCATGATGTGGTGTATCCATGTTTCACTTAGTTGAATAGCCATGATGTGGTGTATCCATCTTTCACTTAGTTGAATAGCAACGATTTAGTGTGTCAGTCTTTCACTTAGTTGAATAGCCATGATGTGGTGTATCCATCTTTCACTTAGTTGAATAGCAATATTGTGGTGTATCCACCTTTCACTTAGTTGAATAGCAACGATGTAGTGTGTCAGTCTTTCACTTAGTTGAATAGCCATGATGTGGTGTATCCATCTTTCACTTAGTTGAATAGCAATATTGTGGTGTATCCACCTTTCACTTAGTTGAATAGCAACGATGTAGTGTGTCAATCTTTCAGTTAGTTGAATAGCCATGATGTGGTGTATCCATCTTTGACTTGGTCACTTGAATTGATTTCTTCATGGGCTTGAGCATGTGGTGTATCAAAACTACAGAGTAGCAGAGATAATTTCAGTAAAAAGACAGATTTTTGCTTGCTGTCAGACACGACCAACGGCACACTGTGTGCAAGAAATAGCAGTAATTCTCTTCTCTGTGATATGAATAATCTTCAGCTAATTATGTAGATGGCAAAGAGGTCAGTGCGCTTACCGGCCACTGCCGTAAGAGATGCAGCAAACTTTAACTTTGAAAGTTCTATATTATGCTATTATACTTTTCAGTTAATAAAACTTTGGTACACGGCATTACTGCTTTCTGTAAATAAGGGACCTTTTTCCCTGCCTTTAGATGTATTGGGCATTATTTTGTAATTTTTAAATAATTTTACTGTCGTTAAATGTTTACCATGAGAGCCTTGGTAAATATAAAATGTAAATAAATGCAAGGAGATTTCACAGAAAGTAAAGACGACCGACATGATAAAAATTGAGTTGTCTCTTGGTCTGACAATGTGGGGTTTCACTCAAATGCTTCCCGATTACCTGCAGATCCGGTGGTCATATTTTCCATTCCCTTTATAGACTGTCAGGAGTCGTCGTGGCGATGGCGGCTAGACGCCCGCTTGTGGACTGGAAGGTCGTGGGTTCGCGTCCTGGCGGAGCCGGACTTTTTCAAAAATGACCTTGACTTCCAGGTCGACCCAGTATTGATGGGCGCTGTCCTGGGAAGTAAAGGCGCATCACCCAGCAAGTGCCGATTGCTCTATAAAAATATAGGTCTAGCCCTATTTGCACAATACGCCTAAAGGCATTGAAAAGGGTCCTTTACTTACTCATAGACTGTCGCTACTGCGCAGGCTCTAATAGGTACCAGGACAAGCTAAGAGAAGGTAAAGGTGAATATAGTGACTTTGACGATAGTCTTTCAAAATAAAAGGTTAACATCATTTATCCAATGTTTCTATAGAGTTAAGAACTTATATCCAATTACTCGCAGCAATCCATAACCCCATCTTTAAGACAACAGCTGCAGACTGATTATATAATCGCCATTTCCTTATTCTGAGGGTTGAGTGTCCATCTAATCATCTAGTAACTACCATTAAGATAATTTCTTTGCATACCCTGGGGATCTGTTCGCTCATCCGCCTCAAGGCGTGATACATGGTCCTTACTATATTCGTAAATCATGACCTACATTAGTGCTTCCATTCAAGATAGTATCTCCTAGTAGGTCATGCGTAAATACCAAACTAAGAAACAGTGAATTATTTGTTTCCTCTAATCGATTTCTTTCTTTCTTTTATGTCTATTTCCTAACTACCAATGCCGATCAGAATGTTGAATGTATTTCTCAGTCACTCCATTACATTTGCCAGGTACGAGATACAGTGGACTGTACAATCGCCCATCAGTGTGGCTTTGATATGGAAGTGATACAATCCATCCAGTGCAACTCCAGCCAGGTCTGGTCCAAACTGGCCTCAGCTTGCGTGTGGGAGTGGGATCCAGACAGAGACGACTGTAATGGTCGTCCACTTACTGCTGTTCACAGTAAGAGCTTTATGTGATCTAAGAATTACACCTTAGAACTATCATTATGAACTGTAATTTTCAATGATTTTGTGTAGAAAATCAATCTAATAAACACGAATTCACAATGCACAACTCCATTTATAGTTGGTTCGATAAGTACATTCTGATTATATTTGTCCCGGGTCTCCCATTAACTGGCCGGTAAACGGCTTCGTCGTCAGTCAGGACAGTATTTGGGTCTGTTTCCTTTGATCTCATCAATACTGCATGAGTCCTTTTCAAGGCTACTTAGTGACGAGCAATGCTGAGCCGTTTTATATGGCGCACACAAACCTAGTCACAATTATAACCAAAAACCCCACCCCCCCCCCTTTCGGGGGATGTTTGTTGAATGTGACGATTTTTTCTCCAAAGCAAATCAAGTCAATGTTGTCAGCGTCACACCGGCTTCCTTTACTTCCCACAAACCTAATCTGGTACCCATTTAAGGTTAGGTGGACCTGGAAGCTAGGCTCATTTTTTAAAAAGTCCAAACGGCTTGTACCGTAATTATGTTCAGTCAGACGCTGGTAGTAGTCTCAATACTAGTTTTAGTAGCAGTAGTAGTGGCAGTACTAGTTTTGGTAGCAGTAGTAGTGGTTGGTAGTAGTGGCAATACAAGTTTTGGTAACAGTAGTAGTGGCAGTACTAGTTTTGGTAGCAGTAGTAGTGGTTGGTAGTAGTGGCAATACAAGTTTTGGTAACAGTAGTAGTGGTTGGTAGTAGTGGCAGTACAAGTTTTGGTAGCAGTAGTAGTGGTTGGTAGTAGTGGCAATACAAGTTTTGGTAACAGTAGTAGTGGTTGGTAGTAGTGGCAGTACAAGTTTTGGTAACAGTAGTAGTGGTTGGTAGTAGTGGCAGTACAAGTTTTGGTAGCAGTAGTAGTGGTTGGTAGTAGTGGCAATACAAGTTTTGGTAACAGTAGTAGTGGTTGGTAGTAGTGGCAGTACAAGTTTTGGTAACAGTAGTAGTGGTTGGTAGTAGTGGCAATACAAGTTTTGGTAGCAGTAGTAGTGGTTGGTAGTAGTGGCAGTACTAGTTTTGGTAGCAGTAGTAGTGGTTGGTAGTAGTGGCAATACTAGTTTTGGTAGCAGTAGTAGTGGCAATACTAGTTTTGGTAGCAGTAGTAGTGGTTGGTAGTAGTGGCAATACAAGTTTTGGTAACAGTAGTAGTGGTTGGTAGTAGAGGCAATACTAGTTTTGGTAGCAGTAGTAGTGGCAATACTAGTTTTGGTAGCAGTAGTAGTGGCAATACTAGTTTTGGTAGCAGTAGTAGTGGCAGTACAAGTTTTGGTAGCAGTAGTAGTGGCAATACAAGTTTTGGTAGCAGTAGTAGTGGTTGGTAGTAGTGGCAATACAAGTTTTGGTAGCAGTAGTAGTGGCAATACAAGTTTTGGTAGCAGTAGTAGTGGTAATACAAGTTTTGGTAGCAGTAGTAGTGGCAATACAAGTTTTGGTAGCAGTAGTAGTGGCAATACAAGTTTTGGTAGCAGTAGTAGTGGCAATACAAGTTTTGGTAGCAGTAGTAGTGGCAGTACAAGTTTTGGTAGCAGTAGTAGTGGCAATACTAGTTTTGGTAGCAGTAGTAGTGGCAATACAAGTTTTGGTAGCAGTAGTAGTGGTTGGTAGTAGTGGCAATACTAGTTTTGGTAGCAGTAGTAGTGGCAATACAAGTTTTGGTAGCATTAGTAGTGGCAATACAAGTTTTGGTAGCAGTAGTAGTGGCAATACAAGTTTTGGTAGCAGTAGTAGTGGCAATACAAGTTTTGGTAGCAGTAGTAGTGGCAATACAAGTTTTGGTAGCAGTAGTAGTGGCAATACAAGTTTTGGTAGCAGTAGTAGTGGCAATACAAGTTTTGGTAGCAGTAGTAGTGGCAATACAAGTTTTGGTAGCAGTAGTAGTGGTTGGTAATAGTGACAATACTAGTTTTGGTAACAGTAGTAGTGGTTGTGGTAGGTAGGTGCCTTGCTAAAAAAAATCGTGAGACAGGCCCAAAACTGTCCCGACCTAGGACGAAGTCGTCTACCGGCGAGTCAATAGGCGACTGGTAGTGTTAGTGATAACAAACTAATTCCGTTGGTTGTTAGTAGCTGTGTTTGTGATGGTGAAGGTAGTGGTAGATTGAACATGCGTCCTGTTTTCACCAAGATAGTCCCGTGTCTTCGGTGTGTCCCAGTCGTCCTGTCGGTACTTTAAAAAAAAAAAAAAACAGCCAACTGCCCCGTTGTATAAATATCTAGGAAATATATGTAGATCTAGACTATATACCACATTAGTGAAACCCTTAAAAACATGTATCAGTTTCTTACAGAATAATAATAAATGTTTTTTATTCGGGTGGGGGTAAACTGGCTTACTTGGGATGTTCAGTAGTGGGGTGTCTCTGGATATAATGGATATAGGTCGTCCTTGGTAGAAGGGATTTTGCAGCAGAACGTCTTTCACTGGTTAAGACAGTGGTACCGACTGTTCAGGGCAGTAACAAACTACTGAACGTAAAATTGCCTAAAAATACCACAATAGCTATAAAAAAAAAAGTATGGGGTTTGTTCTGCAACATCCAGTAAAAGATACGCAACTAACTTTAGTACAAGGGTACTCTTTATAAAACGACACTTTTCTTTATGCAGGTGATCCCAGATGTCTCAAGAAGACTGGCAACAGTCCCCACCCAGACGATTGCTCCAAGTTCCTGTCGTGCTCAAACGGAACCATGGTTGCCGAACAGCGGTGTTCAGACGGCACACTCTTCTGGCCAAAAAACGAAACATGCGAGTTCGCCGAAGTAGTGGCTCATGATTGTGGTCAGCGAAAAATTCCCATGTCTATACCAATATGTAAGTTCTCTGGTTTTTTGTCACCGTTTTTGTATTGTAATGTGTTCCCCCAGCCAAGAACTTTCTGACCTTTTTAGAGTTTCTCTCATTTTAATTGATTTGATTCAAAAACCGACATCACAGAAATTAGGGCATTCCCATAAGCGCTCCGTCCCCATCTTCAGCAGCCAGCGAAGAGTTCCGATACTAATGGTGCCAGTAGCATTCCGATTAAACGTCCGTCTTGCCTTTCCTCTGAGCCTTAAGCATCTGCCAGAACCTTTCGTCACTCCCCCGTGCATCAATCTCACCAGACTGTGGTGATCCATCTGCTCCTCCGAACTGTACATGCTCTCCCACAAGGCAGTAACCACGTCTGTGTTATCATGTATCCGTGTTCCACCAAGTTGTCCAGAGCCAGCCAGTCTATCCGCCTGTTCATTTCCAACACACCGGCATACCACGGTGAAAAAATCCAGACAATACTCCTCACCCGTGTCCTCCACAGCGAAGCATGCCACTCTGCACGAAGCATACCTGTTCTGATTTTATTCAGCATGCTTTCTAAATCAGTTACAATCACGATGTGTGTGTGTGTGTGTGTGTCCTGTTGCTATTCAACTACTCTAGCCAGCGGAAAGCTGCAGTGACCGCCTTCGCCTCCATTTTTATGCTGGGTGTTGTGGTATCATATGCTAGGCTCTCCTGCACCAAACGTCGACCATTAACTTACTATGAAGCTCCAAGCACTTCTTTTGCCTCTTGACACTGAACCGTCTGTGTAAATGATCAAATCCTCTGATTAGAATGATTTTGATCTCTCATTTTAATGATATTCAAATGAAAAATTGTTTTTTGTGTGCGCTGAGCTGATGCGTTGCCATGGGTGGGGGTGCATAGCCTTTTTTTTTTTTAAATAAGATGTATTGTTTTTATTATGTTTTGAATGGCAAACGATTATATTTCAAATAATATGAAACGTATAGAACTCACACACAGCTAAGTAAATTATTACAGTTTTGACATTCAAAAGCTTTGCAATTTAATGAGTGACATTGTTCACATTGCACACAAGAATGCTTTAGAGTGCAACCAGTCAGTTGACAGCACTTCTGCATCTGGGTAATCGATAGTTTTTTTATGGGGGGGGGGGGGGGGGGGTGTGTGCGTATGGGCTTTCCACTAAACTAATTAAGATAAATGTACCATCGCATAAACAAATATTTTAAAGTGAGGAAGTCTATACATTGTACGAAGACGTTGGGTGGGGGCATAGTTCCTTCGCGTTTCCTAGGGGAGGCCTCAGCCCCCCCCCCCCCCGCGACTTGAAGCTGCCCCAGTTTCTGGCGCTCCTGTATGTACATTACCGATAAGCTACGAAAGGAGCCAATATCACATTTTCTAGTATAGTTGGCATATATCTTCTTCGCGTTCACCGGTTGTAGTAAACTCCAGCGGGAAAGTCAGGTTGTTCGTCCACTTATGGACTTTAGTCTTGTTCCAAAACTTGGATTTTGCCTGCATATCCGTTCTGCAGATCTGGCTTATTTGTATAGACTTTTGATTCATTCCTTTCAATCAGATGCACTTAGGCTTCAAAGGCACCTCTAATTAGTCGACTCCTGCGACATGCTTGTTAAAGAGGCTGTGGGTTTGTTCACTTTTTTCTTCCTACAATGAGGCCCAGGAAACCCACATGGTGGGGGTGGGGGGCATAATTGAACAATGCCTGATTTGTTTGACCGATACGATTGTTGAAAATGAAACCAACCAGGCACAGTGGAGACAGCGATCACATACAAACACCAGAACAATGGATCAGGTGTACTTACGTGACCAGCATGGGCAGGTGATTGTTCTGTGCCTCGGGACAGGACAAAACAAAGTTTACAAGCACAGGCGTCGTCTAAGTAGTTTACCATTGTGCCCCTGTGTGTGCAGACTACGGAACATGTCCTGCAAGAATGTCTCTTGTAAAACCCATTAGAAAAGGAACACTGGCCCAGAGAGTCAAGACTGCACTCAAAGATGAATGGAACTAAAGAACTCATAAAAACAGTCAGGTTTCTCACAAGATCATGTGGACCGGTGTAAATCAGAAAGCGAGTACAAAAATAAGAAGCAGAAGTTTTGCGTGTACATCCGTTTTACAGATCTTGTTTATTTGTGTGCGGAATGTTGGTTCCTTGCCTCTCATGCTGATGCACTCCCACTTTATAGGATGCTCCCCAATTAGTTGACTCTTACGATCTACTTGTTGGGGAGGCAATGGGTCTAATCCTGTTTACCCCCAGTGGGACTCCGGAACCCACACAGGGATCCTATGTTAATTGACAAGACACATGACGTTGATGATGACATCCTAGGAACGTGTTCCCAACCGGGAGCCTGAGATACAAGGAACCAGTAGTCTGCACACAAATAAGCCAAATCTGTAAACTGGATTTGTATGCAACACTTAAGTCCTGGAACAATACTGCGTCCAGGTATGGACGAACAACCATGGCTATTCCCAGGAAAAACAGCAGGTGAACGCAAAAAACATTTTACTTTTTACCCAAAAGAATTGATTTCTATTAAATGTGTTCTTTCCGCAGATGAATCGGATCCTTTGTGCAAAAATAATGGCCAGGTACCGGACCCACAGAGCTGCCGACACTTTATCCAGTGCCTCCATGGAAAGAGAGTACAGAGAATACAGTGTCCCCATGGCACGGTTTTTGCAGAGAAAACAAAACAGTGTGAGTGGTATGAGGAGGTGCACTGTGCTGGCAGACATGTTTAGAGAGAATTAGATCTTTAAACATTTTTTTTAAATTAGAAATATTCTGTTTCATTGTAATTTTGTGAAAAATAGTTCACTGGGGAATAAAACATGTTTCTTGTCTAAAGATTGGAATTAAGTTGTTGATTGTTTTGTGTGGTTGTTTGAGAGATATAGAGAGGGAGGGGAGAGACAAACTATTCTAGAATATCACCACAGAGAGCCCTATCAGACATGATAGAAGCAGAATCATAGGTCGAACACACAAGCGATGGATAGATGTAATAGCTGAGGCCATAAATATGGCTCCTACGTAGAACATTCCAAGGCTCACACCTGATGCCTCTTCAAAACCTGACGCTGTAAGACAGGGCTAGAGAAGAAGTTGTATATCACATATTACCTAAATGCAATTGGAGTTCAGGAAAGTGCATGAGCCAGCATGAACCGTGATCCACGAGAAAAGAGAGGTCACATACATTTTCTTCATGTTCACCTGCTGTAAACTCCGGCAGAAATTTATGGTTCTTTGTCCACTTCTGGATTTCTGTTTTGTTCTAGAACTTGAGTTTTGTATGCACAGACATTTTACAGTTCTGGTTTATATGGTTCCTCACCTCAGGCAGTCGCGCTCTGATTTGGAAGAATACCCCAAATTTGTCTTTTTTTTTTATGACATGCTTTTTAAGCAGCAATGGGTTTTTTCTCTAAACACCCCATTCCCTTAATAAAACGTGGGCCTCACAACTCACATGAGAGGTCAAACACGCAACTAACAGCTTTGAATAGAGACAACCTATTCTAAAATATTGAGTAATGTAAAATAAAACTTCTTTGTCCTCTTATATGTATGTATATGTGTGTGTGTGTGTTTATATATATATATATATATATATATATATATATATATATATATATATATATATATAATATATATATATATATATATAAATAAACCAGAGTATTAAAGACAGTTGGATACTTAAAAAAAAAGACAAATGGATCCTCAAAAAAAAACAACATTTGGATTAAAAAAAATGATATTTACATTTTGCAGCATGCTGAAATCCGTTTTTTTTTTTAATCTTTATAGACAAGAATATATTTATTTAAATGTAGATTTTTTTATAAAATGCATGTGCTTTCCTGTCCTGTTAAATTATTTCGGCTAATTTTCCATTGAATGTTACTATGTGCCTAAATATTTTAAATTCTCATATTAATATGTTACTCTAAAAGGTATATACAAGTAATATCCATTGCAAAGACACACATATTGAAGATGCCAAAGAAACAATGCAAAGCTAACAAATTAAAGTGACAAACAAATTAAGGAACATCAAAAAACCTTAACGTTAGAAGTAAAGTCGATTTAAGTGGGAAATGCTAAAGAATTTTATTATTTCCAAGTGATAAATTATGCAACATTATTATACACGTTTTTTTAAATCAGACAAATTACTCTCCCTTCATTGTAGTGATATTGACTACAGAATTGAATTTGATATCTTTGTCACTGCAATACAATCTTGCTACAAGGATCAAACTTCCTAACTCTGTTTAGAAAGGTAGGTAGGTAGGTAGATACCCCACCAGGACACCACACAAGCGATATACACCCGTTGACACAAAGTGCCACCATGCGGATGAGGATCGCCCGTCAAGAATTCCCAGAAACCCCTTTCAGCCGTTAGGCTATATTCAGGGCCCCTGGCAGAAGCCAGGGTGGGGCTTCAAATGAAAAAAAATTGCATCCCACATGGGGACAACTTATAACAAGAAAATCACCTCATTCAGTTTCAGTGATCTCATCCATGCTGTGATTCATGTTAAGCATACTTCATCTCATATTTTTGTTTATTGATATTTTATTCAAAACTGTTTTCCTGTAGTGAATTTAAATAATGCAGACACAAACAATACATTGCACAATTTATTACCTGGCATATTTCGCTTATCTCATCTGGTTAAATTTTTTTTTTTATATCAATAAATAAACCGTCTGCCCAGAAATTGAACCCTAGGACTTGAGGATCATGATTCTGTTTAAAAAAAATCTCTGCGTAGGTTCCGGGGCACCATTGTGGGATCACAAGAATAGACCCAACAAGCATAACACAAAAGTCGACTAACTGGGGGTTTCCCTCGAAGTCAGACTGCATGTGTCTGAGGGGCAAGGAAGCAACAGTCTGCATACAAATAAGTCAGATCTGTCAAACGGATGTGCACGCAACTCTCAGGTTCTGGAACAAGTCCAAAGGTGGATGAACAACCAGAACTTTCTGCTGGTGAATGTTAAGAAGAAGATACTGTTGAACGCATTTATAATTTCTAAGCCACAGATCTGCCATTTTGTTTTAGTCACTGACAAAGGCTGGTCAAAATTTTCAGTTCTATATGTCTGCCTTTTTCTTTCCTCTCCACTGATCAGCCTTGTAAAAGTTTGTCAAGTTACAATACTGAGAGGCAACTATCACATATTTGCTAATGATGAAAAATCTCCAAGATAAAAACTTGCTCAATTAAAATAACACTAAAAAGTTAAATGCCCTAAAACATGTTTATAAGCAAGTAAGGAATGATGACTAATAATTTCATTAAAAAAATAAACACAAAATGTTCCAGTAACGATTATGGATATATAATAAAATGTTCTTAGGTGAAATTCCAAGCATGATATGGGCTCACATCATTTTATTAGCTGCGCCTATTTAACTAGCAACTGGTGATTCATTGACATTCAGCGTTATAGGACTATGAAGACACCTCTGAAATTTCATTACACTGCTGAAATTCAAAAGGCAAATCACCGACTTCCTCTGTAAAAATACTATCTGTTCCGACTCATCAAAATTCCCAGAAAAATCACAATTCCTATCAGTCTTTATTTAAAATAAATATGAGTTCCTATACTCCCCGTGTGGGCTCCTAGACCCCATTGTGGGTAGCAAGGATTGGTATGTTCAGGTCCCACCTAAAAGTGGGAAATACCTGCGCGTAACTTATAGCCTCTGCCAATCAAGTCATCCATACCTACACGTGGTGCTACCTGTTGTAACAGACACGGCTCTGGCGGATAGAGAGTCTCCATCGCTAACAAAATGGACCCCCGAGCCTAAAGGGGTAAAATACCAGGCTATGGCTGGGGAAAGCCAGACAGAAACCCTCGGTGGAGTGTGACACCCCCCCCCCCCCCCCCCCCCCCCCCCCCCCCCGCAAGGCTCGACCGATGCTGGGCCCACCGGCGCGTGGAGATGTCCCGATCCCCACTAAGGTCACACCCAGGGAGCCCACCCTGGATAATCAAAGGCGGAGAAGGGAAACTCCAACAACCTCTGATCTCTGGCAGGCAGTGTTTGGATGAACCGAGACAGGGATAGGAAGACTCCGTAACTTCCCCCACCGAAGACAGACATGTCAGCCTGAATGGCGTGGGCACCCAGAAATGGAAACGGACATCAACGCAATATACGGTTAATGAGTATGCTAAGATACGTACACCGTTATGGGGCTACTCCTGTGGACTACCACCAGGCGGGAACAGAGCCGGATTCAGAGCCTCGAAGGAATCCACCCCAAACTACTGATGGTAGCTCTGCACATCGGCGGACCAGGATTAAGCAGAGTAATGAGTCTGGCCAAAAAAATACCAAAACACTAAAGATAATGCAGTGGAATGCAGAAGGGGTCTTGAAGAAAAAGCTAGAACTGAAAAAATTCATATATGAACACAATAGTGATGTTGTCTGCATTCAGGAAACCCATTTAAACATAGGCTCTCGCTTTTCTGTCAGAGGCTATGAAACATTTAGGCTAGACAGAGATGGCCACAAAGGAGGCGTCATTACATTAGTTAAAAATACTATTGCAGCCACAGAAACTTCAAGAAGCATCAGTGAGTCTGAACATCTAACTATAAAACTGCATATCCTTCCTGAGCCACTATATGTTACTAACTTTTAATGTCGCCAACAACAAAAAATTAGAACTAGAATACATCCAAGTAGCTGATAAGAGCCACATAATTCTTGGCAACAGTCATTCCCCTAGTTGGGGCTATGCTTCTATGGATACAAGAGGAGAAGAGGTAGAGGAATGGATGGTAGAAATCCTGCTGATACTAATAAATGAACCTGACTCTGAACCAACATTCTACTCTAGACATTGGTGAACACAAAATACACCAGACCTAGCTATAGCTACAGAAAACATCCAACGCAGGGCAGACAGAGAAGTGATGAAACAGCTGGGAGGAAGTGATCACAAACCAGTCACTGTCATGATAGGAGAGGTCAAGCCTCCAGAAAATAAGAAGAAGATAGCCAGCTGGAACTACAAGAAAGTAGACTGGGACCTCTACAACAACTTCTCTGTCTGCCCTGCGTTTCTTCTCCTCATACTCGAAGCAGCACAAAAATCAATCACCCGAGGTCAAAGGCAAAACTATGAACCCTTCTGGATCCAAAAACTACAACAACTGCACCAAAGAAGCACTGAAGCAAGAGAAAAAATGGAACAAGATCCCTCAGACGCTGTGCGAGAGTCAGACTGGAAGATCACAAGAGTAAGCTGGTCAGGTTCCAAGAAGGTGTCCCCCAGGGAGGTGTTATATCTCCTACTCTGTTTATTCTTTTCATCAATGACCTCCTAAAACAGTTCACGACTCACATTCACAAGGCGCTACACGCAGATGATCTGGCCATATGGACTCAAGCTGAACATATAGGAACAATTAAAACAAGAATGCAGGAAGCTATAAATACAGTTAAGAAATGGACAGACTCTTGGGGAGTCGCAATAAACCAGACCAAAACCGTCTCAACTTTATTCTCTCTTTCCACAAAGCCAGAGCAAGTTGATCTGTACCTAGAAGGCAACATCCTTCCAAAAGAGGATAACCCCACATATTTGGGAGTAAAATTTGACAAAAGGCTAACTTGGGGCCCCCACATTGAAGACACCCAAAGGAAAGCTACCCTAAGGCTCAGACTTATGAAGAAACAAGAAACTTACTGGAACAAGCTGGGGTGTGGATGCCAACACTGTACGACAAGAATACACTGGATACGTATGACCAAAACTGGAGTATGGCATGGGAGCATACTCCACTGCAGCTAAATCAAACCTACACAAAGTGGATAAAATACAGAACACTGGTCTCAGAATCATCACTAGAGGTATGAGAAGCACACCAATTAATGAGCTGGAGGCAACATGTGGCCCCGAGAGCTTGAGCCTTCGAAGGGAAGAAAAGGTGCTTACCCTAACAGAAAAATTTAAACGCATGAACAACAACCCCATGCACAGAATAGCAAATAACTTTACCAAAAACCGACTGAAAAGACAAAGTTTTCACCATCTATCAAAATTATACTACACAAAAAACAGTGACATCCTTTCTAAAGATCCTTCAACATGGGAAATGATCCAGGCATACAGCATACAAATATAGTCACAACAACAATTCCAGGCATAGATAGAAAGGCTGAAGAGTGTGACCTAGTTCTGCGTGCAAAGACCCTTGAACATATCTACAACTGTTATCCAAAACCCGAACTGGCATAAGTTTACATCGATGGATCACTGGAGGGAGCAGACAAAAATGGAGGAGCTGGATCGGTCATCATGCTGCAAGATGGGACCACAGTAGAAATGTCATGCGCCTCCGGAAGACTCAACAAACTTCAGAGCAGAGCAGCAAGCAATTATTGATTCAGCCAAAGTCCTCGAGGGAAGAAAAATTAAAAACAGCAAAATTTTGTTTCTTTGTGACTGCATGTCAGACCTCCAGGCGACTCATAGGGATCCACGAGACAACATAGAAAGAGAACTGACCAGTCAGCTTAACAGACTCACAGAAAACAATCAAATTGTTCCCCAGTGGATCCCGGCTCACTGTGGCATACCAGGAAATGAGTTGGAAGACAGACTTGCAAAAAATGGAACAAAAAAGAAACAACACGCCCATTCTTTGTCATTACCAGAAATCAGAACACTTATCAAAGGAAAATACAAGAGATTGTGGAGAGAACAAACTAACAGTAAACATCCACAAGACCCCATCAGCAGACTCAACAGAAAGCAACATACAACAATTTTCCGTCTACGAACAGGACTTTGCAGGCTCAACTACCACATGCATAAAATAAAGATTGTACAGTTCCCCCAGTGTGCCTGTCAAACAGGACCCCAAACAACCCAGCACATTCTGCAGACCTGCCCACTCTACCTGCAACTTCGAAAAGACACCTGGCCTCAAGAGCAGAGTGTGCAGAGCAAGCTATGGGGAACCATGCAGGACCTGCAGCTGACATGCGAGTTCATAGAGGCAAACCACCTGATGGTTTGATCTGAGCATACGAAACCGAACGCAAAGAAGAAGAAGACTCCATTGTGGGGAAAACAAGAATAGGTCCACTGCCTGCCCAAAAGCATCTCGTTAGAGTCGACGTAAGAGCTTCCTTTTAAGTCGGAGTACATTTGCCTGAGAGGCAAGGAAGCAACAGTCTGCATGCAAATAACTCAGACCTGTGAAACAGAAGTATACGCACATCAGTTTCTGAAACAGGACTAGAGTCCAGAAGTGGACGAACAACCAGAACATTTTCCGCCGGAGTTTACAGCCGGCGAACGTGAAGAAGTAGTAGTAACTCCAATACAATTCGAGACCACGATGTGCAGAGTAGGGAAGACAGGTCCTCCATTTTGGTAATCTGCTTGCAAGCCAAGGACTAAAACACAATTAGCCAATGAAAGAGATCTACTAAGTGGAGAAAATGCTAGCAAACGTAACAGTGCAAGAAAGTCTAGGACAGATATATCCATCACACCCACTGGAAAAAGCAATTGATCATGACGGATTTATCAGTCATACTCACTTAAAGGGTTAATATGGTATTTAGCTCAATACCAATGGTCACCAAATTTATCACTTAGTAAATTGCAACTGTAAATGTTACTGCCCAACATCCATCCTCTCCAAAGAAAGCTTGTATATAATGTGAAGTTATATGTGTTATTAATTTATCAATCAAACAATCTTAACAGCAAAATAACAATAATCAGTGTTGCTGCTTCCAAAGCTCTATCCACTCTAACATCCTATCCAAGTTGGACTCCAGCTGATCAGCAGTGTTTGACTGCAGTTCGTGAACAATTTCCACAGGGTATGATTCTCTGGCAGCGTCAAGGATGACTTGGAATATTTCAGAAGATATGTTAGCCTCCATTTTCTTCTCATTGTAGCCTCTGCAGACATTCACGATAAACTGAGGTCAATACATCTGATGAATCAAGTGAAGTAAGTAAAAGACTTTTTTCACAGCATGGGCACAAAGAACATTTGGTTCTAGTTTACAGTTTATTAAACAGATCAACATCATAGCACACGGGTATAACCCATTAATGCTCCACTCTACTACTACCTCAAGCTAGAGTCGGAAGAATCACAGCACAGTGCATGAACGCTGTTGCACTGGCAAGGATCTTGAAATACTTTGGGTAGATTTTAAACTCAACATTTTACCATAGGAAATTACTAGAAGTCCACATAAAAAAATCCCAGCCTACACTGTGGTTTGAACCTGGGACCTCCAGCATTCAGGCGGATACCGTACCTCGAGACCACTCAACCCCCCCCCCCCCTCCCTCCCCTTTTTTGCAGGTTCTCGACTAAGTTGAACTTTATGGGTATGGGCGATACTGCCATTAACATCATACAAGCAACCATTAGTTTCGAATACCTATTTTAGGCTGGGTCAATTCAGAAGATAGGTCAATTAAAATAATTGTCCTCAAAGAGCACTGAGCCAAAGACTTTATGCCACTGCCTGCCATGGCCCTCAACACATCTGATTAAAATAAACACAGACTCTCATCTAACTGCTGCAGTCTTATAAAACACCATACAGAGCCTATAAAAGGAAATAACTTTTAAACACTCAAATTTTGAACAGAATTTGTTAAATGAGGTATTAAAACAATAATGAATTCTTGTCCCTCCAACTAGCTCTGTTGTATTCCCAGCGAATTATCAAGTGCCTTGCCAGATGGCATATCTGGTCAGGTCTCTCTAATTAACTTGGTCCTTAGTGTTCTAGATCAGTTTATGAGTGACAATCTGTATGATTCTCACTGCTGGCAATGAGAAGATAACACACAGAATATGATAACAGCTCCTTCAAAGTCGGAGTGCGTCTGTCTGAGAGGCAAGGAACCTGCAATCTGCATACAAATAAGTCAGATCTGTAAAACGGATGTGCACACAACACTCAGGTTTGGAACAAGACCAAAGTTCAGAGATGGACAAACAACCAGAACTTTGCGCCCGAGTTCACAGCCGGTGAAAGTGAAGAAGATGATGATGATGACAGCACAACACCTAGACTGTCTAATATCAATTTTCTCCGCCTGCCTGTCTTCTTCTTCTTATAGTCCATGCCCCGTGGTGCCGGCAGTCATGTCTATTCACAACTGTCTGTCTTGTGTACTTTCAATAAGTTATGACACAGATGATCTTCGATGCCATGATGTCAAACTGTCTAGCAGCATCTATCTCTGTGTCCCTCTGCCTCTTTTTCCCTCCAACCTTCCCACCGTCACGATGTACTGAAGTTTTCTCCTATCATGACATGGCCAAAGAATGTAGATCATCTCCTTCTGAGGTAGGCAATCAATTTTCTTCAGGAGTCAGTTTCTTCCTAGACATTTTTATTATTATTTGTATCTGTCCAGGGTATTCAATATTTTTTTTAAATAAAACTACACTTCCGCCGCTCTAAAATAATTGTTCACTTCATTGGCTAACTTTCCATATTCACTTCTGTACAACAGGATAAGATTTACATAACTGTTGAGAATTCTCTTTCTCATCTTGACTAATAAAGACAGATTTCATAGAATATAGTCTGCTTTTGCTTCTGAAACTTTCTGATTCTTGTCCCCACAATGTTCTGCCTCATCAAATTGCCCGCACATTTTCAGACCAACTGACACTCTATGGACGACACTGCTAAATCCCACTGACAGTCTTTACTTCACAGAACTCTTCCTAGTGCACTCTTTAAGTTGAGTTAACCTGCAGCCCGGTCACTTGAAAAAAAAAAACGTGCAATATTCAATACAAAGGGGAAACAAACCTTTCTGTCAGACGGCTGTGAAGTACTGAGTTATCTGTTCGAAGAACAAAGACAATGTCAAACCATCTCTCTGGGAAGAATTCACACGAGTGGTAATCAACAATGTTTCCACCTTGGGACATGACATCTTCTAGTTCATCGATCAGCTGAGGACAGAAAGAAAGTAAGTGTGTACAATCTTAACTGAGCAAGTGAGAAATGTTTAGTTTTGCATTAGCAAGACAAATATGTATTATTAAATAAAAAACAAAACACAAAAAAATAACCACAGAAAGAAAGAAATAAACATTTAGAGGACATGAAGGTTTTTTATTTGTGTGAACACAAATAATACAATGTTCGACAATTAAGTAATGAGACTAATTCCATAAAAATTAAAAAAACAGTTGAAGATATAATCTGTATTTTATTCAAAGTAAGCCCCTTGTGCACTGATACAGTGAGTAGCACGATCTAACAAACACTGGAACGACCTCTGTAGTTCTTCTGTTGCTATGGCCCTTATTATAGTTGATGTTACAGCCATTTGGCTGTCATCAATATCATCAAAGAAGCGTCCTTTCAATGGTAACTTCAAATTTGGGAATAGAAAATAATCACAGGAAGGCAAATTCTGGGGAATAGGGTGGATGGTTGAGAACACACACTTGTTTTGGGGCCCAAAATTCCTGTTTTGATGTCTCATGGGTACTCAACCCACTTATGTTTTTGGTCATCAGACAACAAATGCGGTACAAACCTGAAAGCAACCTTTTGCTTGCCAAAATCTTGCACTAAAATTTTACAAAGGGTCTCTCTATTAACACCAGATTCATATGCCATCATCCTCACAGTAAAACAATGATCTTCTTGTATCCGTTCTGTGACCTTTGCAATGAGTTTATCATTACAAACCGAAATTGGGTGTCCAGGTCTAGTTGCATTAGTTTTCATTTCTACACCACTTTTGAATCATGAATACCACCTGAAAATCTGTGCACCAGATAAATAATTATCCCCATAAACATGTCTCATCAATTCAACTGTCTCAATGGTGCTTTTTCTTAGTTTTAAACAGAATTTAATGTTAGCTTTTTGCTCCATGCTGTTTCCATAACAAGGTACATCTAACTAGGTCAATAAAATGACGGCTTGTTTGTCGTCTGCTTATCAGGCAGCGATGCAAAGTAGCCAGATCATAGATGAAGGTTGCCTCTTTGGATTCCATGCTTTGCTTCATAGGTGACACTTTTGCCTTGGCCGTTATAAAATCAAGTCTCATTACTTAATTGTCGGACCTTGTACAACAATGAGAAGCAATCTTTATTTTTCCAGTTAAAATGTAGGTTTGGGAAACCCCAAATGCTCAGGTGCACATAGCTAATAATAAACCATAGTGTATTTGCCTGCATATATGTATGTGACTGACTGCAAAATAGAAAGAAAGGTAAGGATGGAGGGACAAAAATACATGGGTGGTGGGGGTATCTTTTTTTTCTCTATGCCTCTGTGGGTTCTAGTGCAAAGACATTCTAGTTATATTGTTCTCAGATTTTCTCAATGTGTGTCCTATCCAGCGTCATCTTCTTTTCTTCACCTCTTGGTGCGATGGAACTTCTTTTTCAAAGCTCAACATCAGTGATTCTATCCTACCATTTAATTCCCTCTATTCTGCATAAGAACATCCTAAACATGTTATATTCTTACTCATAACAGATTTAAAAGAGTAGAAACCCTATTCTATTTTCATCAAGAATATCACACTACGCTATCTAAGCTGCCTTGTCCTACACATGCTATCTTCTCAACAATAACAAACATTCAGACTGTAGGAACTCTCCCACAGTAGCATCAAGAATAAAACACCACAGCTCCTATATCTTACATGTTATTTTCTAGACAACAACAGCAAAGAAGATTGCAGAAATGTTACCCTATCTTCATCCAGAATACCGCACTGCAGCTCCTCATCATAGCCATCCAAACAATCAGCATTTTCTGCAACATCTCCAACGCTGATATAGTTGAGTCCACTTCGCTGGGCAAGTTCCTTAGCTACAGTTGTTTTACCTGTACCGGGGGTACCTGCAAAGTAAGATCTTACCATATTTTAAGCATTACATAGAAAACTATCTCACCGTCTGTGGCACAGCAATGATTTAACGCACACAGTAAATAAATACTGAATAAGTCGACCATTTGCTTTGCCCCACAAACGCTTATAAAAATGGGTAATAGACCCATGCTAATTCTATTTTACACAGGTCACCAACAAATTTTTAAAAATACAGTTGTGTGTTTTTTACAGAGCATTGCAGAAACAACCCAAACATTTTCTGGTTGTGTGTGTATATATATGTATAGCTGTGACTGGCTGCAGCCCACGGCCGGTTCCTGAGGTTCAACCAGCCTCTAGGTAATAGGTACTAGAGTTAACACTTGGTTAAATGGAGGAACATCGCTGTAGCTATGGAGTTGTGTACAGACACATGCAGTCAGTTTCTGAGCTGACCGTACTGGTGGCAGAGCACTCATGGTTTAAAACGGTGGGTAATGATGCAATTACTTGGTGCAGCCTACGGCCGATATGTATATTACCAGGTGTTGGAAGGATATTGACATTCTTGTTCACAAAACAGCCGCCTTTTCTGAGTTGATGAGAGCACCACTTCTGCACACCAGTCAGTCACTTTGTCTACAGTTGCCTGTAGCTCGTGGGCTATCTGTCGCCTCTCTCTCCCCTGCCTGTATGCAAGAACATCATCGGCAAATGTCAATATTCTTCCAACACCTGGTGATTTAAGTTCTGCAATCTTGCTTGTATAATCTTGCTTGTATACACATTAAAGAGCACTGGTGAAATTGCAGAACCCTGGGGTAGTCCCGGGACTATATTACATGGTTCTTAGGTTCATGTTCCCAGGCAAAGGGCAACCATACGGGAATGCAGGACAGCTGCTATCCAGTTTCACAAACCCCGGACAAACCCCCTTCTCCATGAGTGCAGAAATCAAAATCTCTATTGTAAGCATCCTCAAGATCAAGTGCTGCCACAACCGTCTCCTGTCTGTTCTGTTCCTAAACATCAAAAGCGAAAGTAGCTGCCTTAGACCAGGTATCTTTAAGGGGCCAGTAACTACCCAAACCTTTTGGCAGGAGCTCTTCACTTTCAAAAAACATTTGTAGTGTAACAGCAATAATCTTCTCTAGCACCTTGCAAAAAGTATTTTTGTAGTATTAGAACAAGTAACAAGTCTCTCTTATCTTGGATATGTAATAACAGATTATGGCAAAAGTGGCACCGAAATCAAAAAGAGAATATGAATAGTAAAAGGCAACACCACCTTCAATAAGATGCAAAAATTATTGACAGCTAGAGAGATAAGTAAGTAGAGTAACCTAAAGGACCATGTTCCATGCTTTTAGGTGTTTTGAGCATACAGAGCTAGACCAGTATTTCATCATGCTAGCCACCTTTACTTCCAAGGACTTTACCTGGTATCCATTTAAGGATGCGTTGACATAGAAGCCAAAGTCATTTTTAAAAAAGTCCAGCTACATCCGGACCTGAACCTACTACCTTCAGATCCAGAGGTGAGCACACATATTTAGAATTGTCAAATGGGTACACCAAAGTTTTCTGGGCCCTAGCCCCGCCGACATACACACATATGAATGATGGAGGTGGGACAGTAGATTGTGAGACTTTGCATTAAGCTGTCAAGACGCTGAATTGGAAATGCCAGGGGTGTCAGATGTCTTTCTTGCATATATTTCGGAGTGCAGGAAGTTACACGTTGTATTAGTGTGTAGTCGTTATTCTCACATAAAATTGGAAATTCGACAACTAAAAATGAGGCTACCTTCCGAATAACGATCCCAAATTATCGAGGCAGAAAATATACCCTAATAGAGCCTCAATCACGTGTCAATTGCGTAGGGGACTATACCACAACTCCCGAATTGCGATCTTCCTGGGACTTCCGTCGGTGAGAGTGTCCACACCGCTCACATTATTCGGAAGATAGCCAAAAATGAATCTGCTGAGTTATCAGCACTAACAACAATGAGTTTATTGCCGAGGGTAGAGTTCCGTGTCTGCAGCGACATACATAATGCACTGTCTCGTGGGACCTAGGAGTTTGGGTTAAGCCCAGCAGCAGATTTTATGCAGTCATTAAAATCGCTAACTTGCTGTAGTATAGAGGTCTGGATGTCCAAATGTAAATGTGTGTCATAAAACGACGCCAATCAGACAAAGCCAAGGCGACACTCCTCTCACCTTTTCAGAAGTCGACTCGGCTGATCCAGTATGAATGAAACACTTCACAGTGTGTGTGTTAATGGGCGGGGCAGGGCCCAGAAAACTTAGTTGTACCATCAAATGTTATATATAATAGTAAATTCAACCTGGCTGTGTTGTGCAAAAACAACGATGAACAGGTAACTAGAAATCGACTATCCTCCGACAAACGGTCGGCAAAGATGGTGGCGGCAAAATATCCAGCCGATCCGCGGTCACGGGTCATTGCGCACTTGGGGTCACGGGTTAATTGCGCGCTTCCGGCTACTTCATGTGCATTTTTCCGGCGACAATGGCTACCGCCACGTGGCTCCCACGCGCCGTGGATTGGGGCTAAACTAGATGGCTAGGACTCACGAGCAAAGCTGTATGAGATGCGGAAGCTGCTGCTCGTGAGTCCTAGCCATCTAGTTTAGCCCCAATCCATGCCGCTCACGCGGCGTGGGGTCCACAGGGTGGTAGCAGTTGTTGGCAGAAAATTGCAAATTAAGTAGCCGAAAGCACGCAATGACCCGTGACCGCGGCACGGCTGGATATTTTGCCGCCGCCATCTTTGCTGACCGTTTGTCGGAGGATAGCCTAGAAATCTGCAGTCTCTGGAAATGCAGATATACAGAAGAATATGTCGTATTTCATGGAACAAAAACACTCAAATATAGAAGTTCTGGGGAGACTACAAATGAAAATAAAAAGGCGTTACTGTTGGGACGGAGAAAAAGAGAGAAAAGACTAAACTAAATATAAATAATATATTGACCACTATAACATTTTTTTTTTCAAACATACTGGCGGAAAAGGTCGAGAGCAAAATAGCAAGAGACTGGCACCGAAACAAGTGGCAGGGCAACGTGAGGAGATGAACGTCAGTCTGAAAAAATGTACAACACAACCAAGACAAGAGACGGGGCGTGTTGCCGTTGCGGAGACGCATTCCAAATTAATCATACTGTAGAGAGTAAGAGACAGCATCTGACTGACTGAAGTTTCATTTAATGAATTTTTTTTCTTTCTTTTGACGAATGCGTTGAGAAATAGTAAAAGATGGCTTGATATTGAATTTACAACACAAAAATAAAGTACCAGAAATCATAATGTTTGGGGCACCACGTGCAGCAGACTTCGACATGTTTGCTTTCTTGTTTACGTTCACACACAACACTGACCAGATTTTTCTCCGGTGTGCAACTAACTTTTGAATTATTGCTATATCAAATTACGGCCGACTCTATTTATGTTGAGAAGGCGATGATCAAACCGAGACCGCCGATAGAATCTACAGGAGGCCGCGATCACACATGCTGGCTGGGGATAGGAAGCTCTGCTAGAAGCCTGTATCAGTATCAGCCTCTTGTTGTACCGCTCACCCCCCCCCCTAATTTGAAAATAGAAAATGTGTAAAATAAAATTGTGGGGGGGGGGGGTGTGGGGTTAGTATGTATATGTGCGTGTACGTGTGTGAGTGTGTGTGTGTATGGAAATAAATAAAATAAATATATATCGAGTGAGCATCCGATGAAATTCATATGTGACTTTAAAGCCAGGGGCGGGCAGACAAGCTTCTATACATGCCTAAGGCCGCCATGGTTAGCGGCTAGATGTTCGTCTGTAGATCCGAGGGTCGTGAGTTCAAACCCGACATATCCTGACTTTTTTTTTCAAAAATGGTTTTTACTTTTTTAAACTTGGATTCCAGTTCAACGTGGAGCAAATTCTAGCGGAGATATTCATGTTTGTGTGTGTGCATACATCTGACCGAAATTTGCTTTATTCCGCACTTTATTTGTGTTTAAAAAAAAAAATATTAATATTTAATAGCGAGTGGATTGACTTTATTGCATTGTTACTGATTTTATATGGCTTTGTCTTTCTCCACAATACTGAACAAAATAACGCATGCCGAGAGCTTAGCACAAAGCCTGGATACCGTAGCTCCAGCAACAGCCCTCAGATGTCTCCGCTAACCAAAAAAAAATGCATTTTTCGAGTCGAACAATGCAGTTGTAAATGAACGTACAACAATCTTCCGAGCGCGAGGTTAAACGGCTTGACCACTTTGATACGGAGACCCCTATATTCCTATATTGTTTTATAACCAAGTGAAAATGAGCGCCCCTCTTACTGATTTAACATAATCCCTTTTTCAATCTTTGTGAGTTATTCTTTCATTTTATTGATGATGAGACATTTCACCACATTGTTCCCCTCTTCTTCTTAACTAGTCACTGCTTGATATTTTATTTACTTGTTCAAAATAATCGAAGGTAACCGCTCATGCCCGATTTGTGACTCAGTGCTATGTTTTTCATGGAGTAAAATTATTAAATAATAATAAGCTCCTTTGTAATTCGCTTTGGATTTATGTTGTGTTTTCATGGAGATGTAATTCGCTTCGGATTTATGTTGTGTTTTCATGGAGCAGCATTTCATAAGGTAAGAGGAAAAATTACATTATATTTTATTAACTTATCTATGTCCTACGTGATCTGTGATTAAATATTATTAATCATAAGTTGTAAGTAAGTGAATTTATTCAGTTGAAAATAATATATTATTATTAATTTTATTAATCAACTTTCTAAATCATCATCTATAAGTCAATTTTAAAACAGTATCAGTCATAAATAATAACTGTTATTTATAATATTTAAGACAATAAATATGCACCACAAAATCATAGTGCAGAAATGTGTGTCAGACATTTTTTAAAAATGTCAGTCTGGGTGCGGGGAGTGGGGGTCAACAGGTAAAAAGGCTTCAAACAGGAAATGTTATTCATGCCTAATGATAAGTTATGGCTTAAAAAATTCTATAATGGCTAAAAAATTCAAAAAATGATTAAATAACTACTATATATTCATTTAAAAGTATATTATAAAATGTTTTTAAAAACCATGTCTGCGTCCAAAATGTCAGTCTGGGTGCGGGGAGTGGGGGGTCAACAGGTAAAAAGGCTTCAAACAAAAAATGTTGTTCATGCCCAATGATAGGTTATGGCTTTAAAAAATGCTATAATGGCTAAAGATTCAAAAAAGATTAAATAACTACTATATATTCATTTGAAAAACTATTTATTATAAAATATTTTAAACCACTGTCTGTGTCTATTTTTAACGCAAAATACCCTTTAAATAGTCTATGTTTAAAAACGTGCTAAAAACATTATTTTCAGGTATTTAAAATTATTAAAACTCATGTGAAATTAAAGTTAAAGAAAGGTAAATTATTAATACAAATAAACTTGCATTATTTTTGAACTGTTTTTATAAATAACTAGATTAATTAATCTGAGATAAACAGTTTGTTTAGGCCATGCGGTAGCCATTTTGAAAAATCGCCGATTCAGCTTTAAAGAAGTAACCGGGAAAGAAATTGAAAGTTTAAATTTTGTGATGTACAGATTCCAGCAAAACTGCCCATATTTATGTAAAAATGGACGCAGAATCCAAAAATGACGATTCCTAGTATATATATTCACTTTAAAAAGGAGATATTAAAGAAATTTACTTCCCGCATGGCAAATAGTGAAATTTATTTGGCTGAACAAAGATCGCTATGTAAGTTAGGTGTCGATTGGTTGAGCGACCTTTTCTGAATAACTTTGAGCCCACATATTCGATTCTGAACAGCCAGTATTGAGCGACAGGATTTCAAAGTAACTGATAGGCAAAGGAGCCATTATTCGTGGACCACCGACGCCATCTTGTAACTAAGCGATCTCTACTTTCGTTTTTAAGTGGGTCACCTGCATTGGATGTTTTACTTGACTTGGGAGGGGGTGTTCTGTAATTGTTGTATTTTAATATGGTTAATATACGCTGTCCGCGTCGGCTCTTTTAGATCTCAAACAATTTTCACAAGAACTCAGAAGAATATGTATTACATTTTATGATAATAATGATAAAGAATGACACTAATTAATAACAGACAGCCAGAGACAGAAAAGTGGAAGTCGCTATAAAAAAAAAAATATACAAATGCACGGCATTCTCTATTTATATAGAGAAGGCGGTGTACAAATGAAATTAGATCAGTCTTACAATCTAAGGATTGTAATATTAGTAATAAGAGTATAGTGGATTTTTTTTTTTTTTGAACAGAAGTCATTAAATTAATTTTTTTTAATGTGTTTCCACAAGGAAAACATTGTAACTAAGTTTTTTTTTTTTGTGCGTAGCTGCTCATATTGAAAATTATTTGTATTATATATTACAGGCACAGCCCACTATAGCTTTTTTATATAAAAAGCACTAGTGGGCTGTGGTTACATGGAAGGTTGAAGTTGAAGTCTTGTACTTTGTACTTTTCAAGCGATCAGCCCGTACTTTGGTCTTTTATTGTATAGCAGACTAGCAGTGTATAGTGGGCATCCGGTAATCAGCGGTTGATCTCTGTAATTCACAACTTCTCATATAAATTTTTAGATACTTCTGAATGCATATAAATTATGGCATATACCTCTCTAGTTATATACTGAAACTGAATTAAAATCTATTAACATAATTACGTCACAGCTTTAGAATTTTATTTACAATTTCTTGTTAACTTTCTACTTTCCAGGAATACGCGTTGTAAGCTAAAGATTATTTTTAGTTATAATTACATTTAATAGATAAGTTATAAACTAATATATCGTTGCATATTTTATATCAGTAATTATAATTTTTTTCCCTGAGTCTATTGTTAATTGCCGTTAATAATATTGCAGAGCAAAATAATAATTCACATAACTTTAAATATAACCATTGATAGATAATAATATAGGAAATTGTCACAGCAAATTGAAAAGCACACAAATTATCTGTTATAAGTAGCACATCAAGATTCTAATAAAATTTTTTTTCAATATAATCTATGCAGTATTAAATTGCCCAAAGTATTAAACATAAATGTAAATATCTAGTATTCAGTATCTGAAACGACAAAATCTCTATGTATCCCAATTTAAATTAAAACCCAAAAATTATCATATTGTCATTCCCTTGTGGGATGCAATTTTTGGCTCTCCTTTAAATAACGGTCGCTAGCTGGAAGGCCGCTTAGTCAAAGTTCACTCCCTTGGCTGCAGTGCAAATACGGAGCGGACAAGTTACGAATCAAAAAACTAAAGTGAGGTCGACATGCCTGCTAGAGCTAGACCACGCGCTGCGACTGATAGTAACGACCGCGTTCTTGCGACGCAAGACTCTCATAGACCACGCGCTGCAACTCACATTAGCGACCACGTTCTTCCCACGCACGAATTAGTGACCGTAGATGTGAGACCTGCGGATCTGTATGTCGTAATGAGCGATAAGCTTCTGTCGTGTCCGTGATGTGTCACCCTAACCCTACCCCAAACCCTACCCCTAACCCTACCCCAAACCCTAAGCCAAACCCTACCCTTAACCCTAACCCAAACCCTAACCCTACCCCAAATCCTAACCCAAGCCCTAACCCAAGCCCTACCCCAAATCCTAACCCAAACCCTACCCCAAATCCTAACCCAAACCCTAACCCAAATCCTAACCCAAATCCTAACCCAAACCCTAACCCAAATCCTAACCCAAACCCTAACCCAAATCCTAACCCAAACCCTAACCCAAATCCTAACCCAAACCCTAACCCAAATCCTACCCCAAATCCTAACCCAAACCCTAAACCTACCCCTACCCCAAATCCTAACCAGAGCCCTAACCCTAGGATGACAGGTAACTATATCATTTGTTTCATTCCCTCTTTACCACTCCGTATTTGCACTGCAGCCAAGGGAGTGAACTCCGACTAAGCGATCGTCACCTTCCAGCTAGCGACCGTTATTTAAAGGAGAGCCCAATTTTTTGTTATTTTGGAGCCCCACCCTGGCTCTTGCCAAGGGCCGCAATATAGCCCGGTCTAATGGCTGAACGGGACATAGGTGATCCTCATCCGCATGGTGGCACTTTGTGTCATCGGATGTTTATCGCTTATGTGATGTCCTGGTGGGGTACAATGTACTACGACTACTAAACACCCAAAAGTGTTGAACAGGATATCTCTATATTAATATAACACGTTTTTAATGATGAACATGGTGCAGCATTTGCACTACAGACAACTACAGCAGTAGGCCTTTTATTGTTAGCATCCACCAGCTGGAATCTCTAGTGGAAAATTGTGGTCATTGTCTTTCCATCTTGTTCTTGGTCTACCTCATGATCTAGATCTGTGTTCTCTAAGTATTTTACATCTACGTTTTGCTTCTTACACTTCTGGAAGTTTCAACCATGGACACATTGTATGATTACAAAGTTTCTCTGATTTTATCTTTCCATCTTGTTCTTGGTCTACCTTATGATCTAGATCTGTGTTCTTTAACCATTTTACACCCGTGGCCGATCAAAACATGGGAAATTGTTTTGGGGTCCACCTGACAGCTAATAAAACACAGAAACAAATTTGATGCCACAATCACTTCTTGGAATCATGTAGCAGCTACATGCGTTATTGTCTTTATCCCTGCCTAGACTGGACTCCAGGTTATGTAGGCTAACCATCGGGTGCAGTAGGAAAGTTGGAGCGGAGTCGAGGCAGGGGAGACCAAAAGACAAGATGCTGGACAGTTTGACATCCTGGCATGGAGGATCATCTGTGTCAGAGTTGATTGAAATTACATGAAACAGATGATTGTGGATAGACTACCAATGCCACATGGCATATAACATGAAACAGATGATTGAGTTGAGTCAAGAATTTACATCACAGCACTCGGTCACAATCTGGTTAAATGTCCATCTTGCCTTTCCTCTGAGTGTAGTCAGCCGGCCAGACCCTCTGGTTACACCCAGGTGCCTCATTCTCTCCAAGCCATAATATTTTTCTTTCTCTACTGATTCCGTTGCTTGTTCCCAAAGGGACTTGACCACATCTGCCTTGTCATATATCAATTCACCACCCAGTGGTGCAGATCGAGCCAATCTGTCTGCCTGTTTATTACCCACCACGCCGGCGTGACCTGGAGAAAAGATCCAAAGTATGCTCACTTCCCGTGCGCTTCCCAGTGAAGCTTGCCACTCTGCTCAAAGCATCCATGTCTTCACCTTTTTTCAGCATGTTTTCAGTCTGTTACAATTACCACATGTGTATGCATCTTGTTCTCTAGCCACCGGAGAGCTGCAGTTATCGCCTCCACCTCCATTCTCATGCTGGATGTTGTGGTGTCATATGCTAGGCTGTCTTGCACTAAAGATTTTCCATTGGCTTTTGCTACGAACCCCCTGATGGTTGTGGATGTTGAAGTAAAGGACCCTTTTCTACGCCTTTCAGGCATTGTGGGTATATAGGGCTAGACCTATATTTTTTAGACCAGCAGTACAAGAGTGGTGATGTGGTCAGCATCACGCCGGTCACCTTTACTTCCCAGGACTGTACCTGGTACCCACTAAAAACTGGGTTGACCTGGAAGCCAATGTCTTTTTTTTTAAAGTCCGGCTCTGCCAGGGAGCGAACACACAACCTTCCAATCCTCAGGTGAGCATCTAGCTGCTATGCCACTGTGACTCTCATATTGATGTTAATACATTTCTTATTTAAGGACGAAAATGCAGCCAGTTCATTACAGGGCATTTATCACTGGAGCAGCACAAGGTTTAGGAAGAGCATTTTCTGAAGCTCTCTTACAACGTGGAGCAAAGGTAATTGTTTCATCAGTTTATCAGTAAGGCCTAAAATAAGGCAGCCTCTATAAACAGTAGTCTGAAACATTTTTTACCTGCCATGTTTCCTAGAAAATAAGACCCCAAAAAATAAACCTAAGTTAGCCATCTCTGGTTAAAATCTCTTTTCATACTTTTACCAAAATCTCTTTTCATACCTTTACCAAAATCGCTTTTCATACCTTTACCAAAATCTCTTTTCATACCTTTACCCAAAACATTGGATGTAGTAGGCTGTGGAGAACATCGGACAGTTAGTTTAATGAGTCAGGTAACTAAAATATTAATGAGAATTATAATGAGAAGAATAAGGGGCACAATTAAACAAGAAACTGGAGAGGAGCAGAATGGTTTTGTTGAAGGTAACAAGGCCATATTTGTCTTGAGAATACTTTCAGAAAGAATGATTGAAAAGAACAGATATCTGCATTTGTGCTTTACTGATTACACTAAAACATTTGACAAAGTAAAACTTAGGACGAAATTATTAGAATTTTTGAAGCCCTAAACATTGATGGTAAATATCTGAGAATAATAAAAAACATATACTGACAACAAGAAGCAGCCATAAGGATTGACAACCAAGTTGGAACTTTTCAAAGCATTAAACGAGGTGTTGAACAGGGATGTGAAATATCACCCGATTTATTCAATTTGTCCAGTGAAATAATAATTAGATCCATACATGGTATGCCAGGAATATCAATTGATGGGCATTCCCCGTGTGGGTTCCAGGGCCCTGTTATAGGGGAAAAAAGAAATAGACCCACTGTGTACCTAAAAGCATGTCGTAAGAGTTGACTAACTGGGAGCTTCCTTTGAAGTCGGAGTGCATATGCCTGAGAGGCAAGGAACCAGCAGTCTGAATACAAATGAGTCAGATCTGTAAAACGGATGCACACGCAACACTTGGGTTCTGGAATAGGACCGCAGTCCTAAAAGTACCAGAGCTTTCCGTCAGAGTTTACAGTTGGTGAATGTGAAGAAGAAAAGAATAACTGACCCTCCGAGATGCAACATCAAAGTAAATGGGACAATCCTCAAGCAAGTTAATAGTACAGATATCATTCACTTATTTAAATTAAAAAAACACACAAATTTTTTTAATTAATAATAATGTTGATATTTTGCGTACATAATATTTAATTTTATCATTATTCATATTTTTAGGTGTGCATGGTTGATGTCCAAGAGGCCAAAGGAAGGGAGTTAGAAAGTGACCTTCAGAGCAGATATGGAAGTGACAATGTTGCCTTTTTACCTTGTGATGTATCATCAGACAAAAGCTTGAAAGGTAAAGAAAAAAAGAAAAACGTAAGACACAATCTTGAAAGCTACAGACAAAAGCTTAAAAGGTTTAAAAAAAAACACATAAGATACAATCTCGAAAGTTAGAAACAAAATCAAATAAAAAGCTTGAAAGGTTTAAAAAAAAGATTAACATAAGACACAATCTTGAAAATTAAAAAAAAAAACAACCAGACAAAAGGTTGAAAGGTTAAAAGAAAAATGCAAATATAATAGATAAAATACTTAAATATTTATAGTGTTGACTGGTATCAGCATTACAAAAGAAAGAAGATGGTGTTAGATTGGGCACATCATGAGAAAAAACAAGCAAACAATCACCCAACAAGTGTTAAAATGGTGTTTTAAAAAATGGGGACATTCAAGAAAACCTGGATTCCACCCATCACATCAAAAGGATTGTACAGGATGGGATGGAATGATGGAAAAGACCATGAGTCCTATGTGACATGGTACGAACAGGATTACGATGAGGATGGATGACATGTTAATATTTATGGATTGTTATGAGGTGTGAACTAATGAAAGAAAAGGTCACCATTGACATTAAAACATCCATCTCATTATATGGGAAGGCTTTATGGATGACCCCAGATAGAAGTTTGCTTTCTTCAATTCTGCCACAAATGCTTATAAAACTTTCATAAGTAAAGGACCTTTTTCGCACAAGTGAAGTATTGGGCATATGATGCTACTCATGTTTTTATAGACCAGTTGGCACTTAGTGGGGGATGTGATCATCATCATGTTGGGCACCTTTGCTTCCCAAGACTTCACCTGGTACCCATTTTAGGCCGGGTCACCCTGGGAGTTAAGGTCATTTTCGAGAAAAAATCAGACTCAATGTAGATTTGAACCTGACCTTTGAGCCAGCAGGCGAGCATGTGGCCAGTACGCCACCACAGCTCCCTGTAACTTTTACATGTGTGTATTTAAGAAACGTAGATGGGTTTCATTCAATTATATTTCATATAAATGTGCTTGATAATACATGTATTATGCGTACATATAGTTTAATTAAATGTTATATCACCTGTTCTGTTGTATGGCAGTGAATCTTGGAATGTGAGCAAACAAATTAAGAAGAGTTTGGAGGCAGTTTAGATGTGGTTTTTTAGAAGAATGTTGCGAATACCTTGGACTGCCAGAATAACTAACAATGATTGTCTGAAAATGGCTTAAGAAAGTAGAACATAATAAACAACTGTGAGAAGGAGACAGAATTCTTTGATCATGTGATAAGAAAAGGAGCACTGGAAAATATTGTGACGACTGGAAAGATCACTGGTAGAAGAGGCAGAGGCAAACAATGAGAAATGATGGTGGATAGGTTAAGACTGGCATGGAGAAATATTATCAGTAGAATTGATCCAGAGCACCAAAGACCGAGATCTGAGGAGATGCATAAGCACATACACCAGCTGGCAAGACATTTGATGAGGATGATAGTTTAGGAGTAGAATTTGTTTGTAAACGGCACTACATACAGTATTAATAAATTAATTAGTAGAGTGGTATGGTTCTGTAATATTGCATAGTTTGAAAAACAAATACTTGTATTCCAATAATGTTGACTTACTGAGACAAAATAACATTTGAATTGTTTCACAGATTCTTTCAAGAGTGCAGTGTCCAAATTTGGTTATGTTAATCTGATGGTCAACAATGCAGGCATTGCAGATGAGTCCAGATTTAGGGATATGGTCAATATTAATCTGGTTTGTAACAGAATATGTAATTAACTTTTTTAATTCTAAAGTAATGTAGTGTGTGTTGTTATACATTTTATGTTTGGTCTGAGCAAATTAGTGAAATATGGCTAGTTATTTTCTCTTATCCTAGACATGTACTAACCGGTGATGATAAAAGTGGAAAAAATCAAAGTTAGAAAAGATAAGGCCAAAATATTTTCTATACAAATATGAGTCCAGAACCACATACCTAGTGTGGCAGTAACATGAAAAAGTGATGTTCAACCCCACGAGGACCGCTCAGTGAGGGATAAAACACTCAGTGACATAAAGTGCCACCATTCAGATGATGACCCCCCCCCCCCCCCCCCCCCCCCCCCCGTGTGGGTTCCGGGGCCCCATTGTAGGGGAAAACAAGAATAGACCCACTGCCTACCCAAAAGCATGTCGTAAGAGTCGACTAATTGGGGAGCTTCCTTTGAAGTCGGAGTGCATCTGCCGGAGAGGCAAGGAACCAACAGTCTGTATTCAAGAGAATGAGATTTGTAAAACTGATGCACACGCAACACTCAGGTTCTGGAGCAGGACTGCAGTTCAGTAGTGGACGAACAACCAGAACTTTCCGCCAGAGTGTACAGCTGGTGAACGTGAAGAAGATGAAGAAGATGATGACCACCTGGGCAAAGTCCCAGAAACCCTGTTCAGCTGTTAGGTTATTGTCCACAACAATAGCCAGGGTGGGGCTTTAAAAATAACACACACAAAATTATGTCCTATTTGGGGAGGGGGGGGGGGGGTGGGGAATGTAGGAATGTTTACTTTTTGCTTGTTAGCCTTATTATAATACTGCTTCCCCTGTGGGTTTCTGAGTCCCATTGTCAGGAAAACAAGAAAAGAGCCACTGCCTCCCCAACCAGTATGTTGTAAGAGTCGACTAATTGGGAGCTTCCTTTCAAGTTGCAGTGCATCTGCCTAAGCGGCAACTAACAACGAACTACACAAGAATAAGCCAGTAAAATGAATGTACAAACAAAACTCAGGCCCTGAAATAATGCCAGAGTCCAAGTGGACGAACAGCCAGGACCTTTCATAGGAGCTTACGGCGAATGAACAAAGAAGAGGATAATACGGATGATTTCTATATCAGACTGAAGTTAGTCGCTGGCACCATTTTGTACAAATTAGCAAAAACTGAGTTGAGTTTCAAGAACCAACATCTCGACACTCCAGACATTCCCATAAGCACACTGTCCCCATCTTCAGAGGTCAGTGAAGAATTCAAAGTCTGATGATACCAATAGCAGTCTGATTGTGTGTCCGTCTTGCCTTTCCCCTGAGTGTGGAGTGTCGGCCAGATTCCCTAATCACTCCCCACTGCACCATTCTTTTCAGACTGATTATCTATTTGTGCCTTCACATTGTTCTCTCGCTCCCAAGAGGCCGTGACATCATCTAACCTGTTGTGCGTCAGTTTACCTCTGCAGAACCAGCCAGTCTGTCTGCCTGTTTATTTCGCAACAAACCTACCTACCCTGGAGAAAATATAAAAAGGAAGCTAAATACCCTGGTCCTCTGAAGCAATGATTGCCACTTTCTCAGGATGCTTGGCAAGTTAGTAACAATTACAGTGTGTGTGCAACTGGTTCTTGCTCCAACAGAAGGCTGCAGTTGACGATCTTGTTTACCACCTTCTGTCTTTTTTGATGAACTGGAAATTTTTATTTTATGCTTTCACCAATAAATTATCATCATAAATTTACAAAAATTGATTGAGCTTAAATTATATTCTGAAAGCTCAGTGAAAAGCAAGGTAACACACTCACGCACACACACACACACACACACACACACACACACACACACACACACTCAGATACAAGAAAATGTTTCTGCCTAGGTCTTAATCAATAAACAATAAAAATGAGGAATACTTATTTAGAAAAATAAAATAAACAAGTTACCCAAATATCTTAAAATTTCCACAGATCACAGAGCCCTAGACGTTCTGTTTACCCTGTAGTTCTTAGTTTGTTGTCACTTCTGTCTCTACAAATCTTCTGTTACCACTTGGAATGTCTGAGAAGATACAAGGTTCTGATTCTGCCTCTTATGGTTACCTCAATGCTTGGTCTACTTTAGGCTGTGTCTTCTCCACTTCTGGTAAGTGCCTTTTATGGTACATAAAATATTCTCTTTAAATGTATGGGTTCTGTGCTAACATTGTCTCTTAAAACCTAATTCCTTATTTTACCTCTTCTGATCAATTCCGCTGTATTTCTGAGACATCTCATTTCCATGGTGACCGATTTTCTTTCCTGAATAATTGTGAGTGTCCATGTCTGGCATTGATAGCACAGGATGGGGATAAATATGTTTCTTTGCACTTGTCAGGATCGTCTTATGTTCACATATGGACAACTTCCTTGTGTAATTTTTCTAGTATTCCTGCTAAAGGTGTCAATCCAGACAGGGGATTGAACTAATGAGCTTCACAATACCACAATATGAATGGCAAACGTGAATTTTGTGGCTTAGTATTCCTGTCTGTGGATTAAAGACTTTGGTCAAATTGTTTGCTTGTATCTGTGTGTGCCTTTGCTTTTCTTTTGTTGATGCTCCATGTTATATTTTATGTTCAGTCAGTTTTTGGAATCACCTCAATTGCAGTCACCCCTATTTTCAACACCATTAATGTTTTACAGAATATGTTCACAGGTTGGTCCAGTGACAGGCTCTTCAATCGCATTCGAGCATATGAGGAAAGATAAGGGAGGAAAAGGCGGAAAAATCATTAATGTTTCATCAACTGCAGGTAAGTTCTTTGACTTTTAAACTTCTCTCATTCCTTCAGCTGTCTCAAAAGCACTTTTCTGAGTCTGAAACAGAATCAGTGTTCACCCATGACTTCATGCTACATACATAATCACTTTCACTTGCTAAACAAAATGGTGAGTTACAAGTCTGATGACTGGATTGCATTACAATTTTGCCAGATTACAGATGCATGGTACCTGTTTGAATGACATGCTTAGCTTCATGGATGGTCTTATTTTTTGTTTTTGGCAATACAAAAATTAGTCTCCTTATTTAATTGTCAGGCTTTGTGTATGTATGCGTGTGTGTGCGCGCGCACACAGGGCATCATCATGTAGCAGGTCCTTTGCAGAACGTCGCTCTCTGTCTGCCTGAAAGAAAAAAAAACAGTATCTCACCAGCTCTCCCCCTCATGTATTTTCACATTCAAGGGGTCACTTATATCCTGCGTCCATCTTTGTGTTGGTCAGCCCCTGCCCCTCCTTCCTGGTACCGTGCCTTCTGCTTTTTTTTTTTCCTAATCCGCCATGGCACTTGAAATGACCAAAATATTTCAGCTTCTGAGACAACATGCTGTTAATTAGCCAATCTTCCTTGATGTTCAGATCTTTTAAAATGTCAGTATTTTATCTCTTCTCAGTCTGTAGTATTCTGAGAATCTTTCTATGGAATTTCAGCTCAAAAGCCCCCTATTTTCTATCTTAAAGACTTAGAGATAGTCCACGACTTACATCTGTATGTTGCTAAAGGGAAGATGCATGCTCTCAAAATTAAAATTTTGATTTCCTTGCTGGTGCTTAACCATAGACTTTTAATACTGTTTTATCTTTGCATTGCTATGGCCATCCTCCTTTTAATTTCTATCAGACAGTCTCCATTGCTATTTATTATATTGCCTATATATTCAAAACTTGTGAGACTTTAAATTTTTTCATCATTTATAGTTATTTTTGGGGGAGAGCCAGTTTTGCCTGTGGACATTATTTTGGTTTTCTTTAAATTCAAGAATAGGTTTTGATGTTCACTGTGTTTCTGGACAGACATGATTAAATGTTCTATTCCATATACGTCTCATATCTGTATGATGCTGAATTTTTCTAACAGGGCTCACTGGTGTGTATTTCGTCCCTCACTATTGCGCTGTTAAATTTGGCCTAGTAGGATTCCACAGAAGTTGGTCTGTAAGTATACACAAGAGTTAAGTGTGTGCTATCATGGCAATCTAGTCATTAAAATAAGTGATACCAATAAAACTATGCATGTATCACTGTGTAAGTTCCAGGGTACAATTTTGTGACATAAAAGAAAATACCCACTGACCCTAACAAGCATGCCATACAAGAAAATTAATCAAGGGTTTGCTGAAACCAGATGTTTTGGGCCAAAATGTGCAGGTATGGTAGCCTTGCTGTAAACCACATCACAGCATGTCAGCCCCACGTCATTTCCATGTTAAAGATAGAAGAAACTCCTGCTGTGTATCAACATGAGCTTTTAATAATAATGGTTCCTTAAATGGGTTCCATATGGAGCAATAAACCATCGACGTAAAGATCAAAGTCTGAAATAAGTGCAAGAATTTAAATACCTGGGAAGCATCTTTACACACTGGTAAAATAAACGGACAGATAGAAACAAGAATCCAGAAAGCCAACAATTTCACGTACCAACTTGCTCCAGTTTTAAAACACCCAGCTATCCCAGTAGAGACAAAAAGACAAATTATAAATACAGTATTTACACTGACTTTAGGTTACCAATGTCAGACTTGGATATTGGCAAAAAAACGTGAAAGAAAACTAACCACGTGTGAGATGAGATGATTGAGAGTGGCTGTGAATAAAACCAGAAGAGATGGAGTGAGAAACAATGTGATCACAAGAACTGTTGGAACAACACCCATTGTAAAATTTATTGATAAACAAAGAATGAAATGGTTTGGCCATCTAATGAGAATGAAACCAACAATGCCAGCAGCAAGAGCGTACAACCTGAAAAATCTAAACATCAAGAGGCAGAGGAAGACTGAGAAATAAATGGATTGAAGGAGTCACTGACACCTTGAGACTGCATAACATCACAGCATATCAAGAGACTGAGCATGCCCTGGCTTGGCTGCCGATCGTCTGATGAACTGCGACGCCTACAAAAGAAGAAAAAAAGACCTGGGCTCCAGGGCCCCATTTTGGGGGTGAGTAGTGGGGAAACAAGAATAGATCCACAGCCTCCTAACAAGCATGTCATAAATGTTGAATTAGGAATCAACATCATAGCACCCAGGACACTCCCATAAGCACTTTGCCCCTATCTTCAGCAGCAAGCGAAGAGTTCCAATTCTGATGGTACTAGTAACTATCTGATCGTACATCCGTCTCGCCTTTCCCTTGAGTGTTGAGCATCGGCCTGATCCCCTGGTAACTTCCTGCAGCGCCATTCTCCTCAGACCCTAATGATCTGTGTGTGCTTCCTCATGGTTCACCTGCTTCCAAAGGGTCCTCACCACATCTAGCGTAAGCATGTTTTAAAAAGCTATCTAGGGTTTGCTGAAATTGGATATGTTGGGCTGAAAGGCACATATATCGCAGTTTAGCTGTAAACCACAACACAACATGCCAACAACTCTTTTAACGGTCACAGAAGAATATTACTATAGCCAAATGGAAGTCCTGCAATGTGGATATTCAGATTATATTTCATGAAAGAAGAAAAATGGGGTGGGGGGGGGGGGCATCAAATTCACGGGTATTTGAGAGTTAGAATGGGGGGGGGGGGGTGTTTAAAGATTTTGAAATGTACAATGAAGTGAAATATTTCAGTCACTTTAAAAGACACAGTACTCTTATAATTCTTTAGACGGAAAACTAAATAAAAAGGGTGAGAAAGCAGTCTGTCTGAGTGTACAAGGAGTAGAGACAGAACTTTAGATCGCAGCAAATCTTTTTTCTGGAAATGACACCTATTTGATTAACACTATTATTATGTAGTAAGAACTGTACAGAATGCCAATCCTATGACATCCCACCTGAAAAACTCAAGTCTCCCACCAGTTCTTCTGCCCAAGCGTTCCGTGTGTCCTGTGCCCACCTTAGTGCTGGACACACCCTGCTTCTCTTACCTGATACCATGCACTCCATTACTGTTTTTTCTAATCCATTGTGACATTTTATGTGGTCAGAGTAGTTTCAATTTTATTCGATTATAGCTAGGATTTCCAGGCAAAATTATCAATAGCCGACTGACTGCTGATACTCAGAAAAGTGATTTGTTTCCAGCTAGGTTTTGCTGATGTTACCTCCTAATATCTGAATCAGAGGTTCAAAGGTTCTGTTGTCCAGCTACTGGGTTGAGTGCATGGTGTGACACTGTGAGCTGTAGATTTCAGATGGAAAGTTTTTTTTTTCTTTTGTGCCTGTGATGTGTTGTTGACTTCATTAAAATGGCTAGTGGCTGAGTGTACTTTTGAAAGGCCAATGCCAGCTTTCATGAGTGACTGTTTATGCCAGCAGTGAGCTGTAGTTATGGTGTGGGCCCATGATGTTAGCACATCTAACAGCTACCTTATGCATTTTTACTTAGCATGTGCAAGCTTCAAGATTTTCTAGAGACTGAAAAATATTTCACTAGTTTTCAAAAGGAACAGTGAAGGATATACTGTGTAATTTCCACACGCACAGGAATGGAGCAGTTAAGGGGCAACCCGTCTGCAGTGATTTTGGAACCTGGACTAACAACTTGATTATAGCCAATTTATGAGGCTGATCTAACCCTAAAGCTATATTGGTTGAGCAGCCTTAATATCCATCAACATTTTGTACACATCTTTATTCCTTTATGGAGCCTACTGGCAATATATTAGGCTGCTGGCCTGAATCAACTAGGTTCTGATCTGCATCACAGCAAACATTTTTAATAAGTGACCTAAGTAAGGCTCCTAGCCTGAAATGTTTACTAGTAGTTCTGAGAAACAAGGGATTTGAACACACCACTCATCAAAAGCAGACTGGTCTATAAACATATGGGTGAAGTATAAGTCCAGTGTCATTAAAGAAGCTTCTTTACTTATGAACTTTATGCTTTCACCAGAGCAATCCACACCTCGATGAAGTGGGAGTTGAATTTGGTTGCCTGTGTCCAGCATTCACAGATACAGCAATTATGGACTTTGATGAAAAGAAACTTCTATATCCTGAAGAAGCCTTTGGCTTGATCAAGAAAATGGGTACAAACAAGTGAGTTTGACCAGTTTGGTTTTAGTTTTAGTTGAGTTGTAGAATAGAATCTGTAAGAATGTCAGTGTATAAATATCATACTTAGTTACATATTGACGAGAGTCCATGTGTGGTTCTGGGGCCCATATGGTTGGGGGGGGGGGGGGGGGGAGGGGAGGACACATAGCCCCCCAAACAAGAGTTCACTAAAACTTGTAAATGATTATATTTGCTAACAATAGCGGGGGGTGGGGGGGGGGGGGGGGGGGGGGGTTAACTGTTAAAAAAAAGCCTCGTTATGGCATTGGAAATGTGATGCTACACCAGTCAGCACTCAGTGGGTAAGGTCAGTTATAAAAATTCATCTTGATGCTGACAGAACTAGATAAAAGACAAAAATATGTTGGCTCATAGGCAGATGCTGGACAGTCTGACATCATGGCATGTAATCATCTCTGTCAAAATTATGAAATGTACACACAACACAAGGTTGAGGATAGATAAGACTGCTAATGCCACGGGGTATGGACTATAAGAAAAAGTAGGTGAACTGGGGACAGCCAAAAACTGGGCGAGGCACACTCACAAAAAAAGGTGTGCACAAACTGGATGTACTAAGTAATAGGTTTAACAAAACAGGGCTTTGATGATATGATGTTTCTGTTCTGTTGCAGGGTAGAGACTGTGGTCCAGGCATTTCTGCTGCTTGTGGAGTCCCAAAACTGCAATGGCGATATCATCACAGTGACAGTCAAAGATGGAGTCCAGTACCATTACAAAGGGAAACAAACAAAGAGCCGCATATAGACAGAACAATAACTATTAACCGTCAACATGGATTTTGAAGCAGCTTTTTGTACATTATAATTTCTACAGAAAAACATTTATACCACATCTATTTATTACTCTTTGACTCTTTGAGTCCCAGTGGGTTTAGCATTACAGGCCCAAGGGGTAGTCAAGAAAGACGTAAAATCTGCGAATCATGTGTTCATTGGGCTTCTAGACAGTAACCTATGAACATATGATGTGTTCCTTGGGACTAAAAGAGCTTTTTTCTAGTTTTGCACAGTGATCAGATTTTTATTGCGCTTGTTATTCATCATCATTTTGACTCTACACATCAATGCCCTAATATAAACCCTACTGGTTGAAAGGGGTTTCTGGGACCTGTCCCTGGGTGATCCTCATCCGAACAGTGGCACTCTGTGTCACCAGGTGTTTGTCAATGTCCTAATATAAACCCTACTGGTTAAAAGGGGTTTCTGGGACCTGTCCCTGGGTTATCCTCATCCGAACAGTGGCACTCTGTGTCACCAGGTGTTTGTCGCTCAGTGTGATGTTTTGGTCAGTCAATTAGTCCATTCCATTCTAGCCTGACAACTCAGTCATAGGTTCTCTAGAAAATTCCAGCTGTTTTGGGATTCTTTGTCTAAGAATGTGGCCAGTGTTTGTTATATTTTTTCTTATATAACTGTTGCTACAGCATTTCTCCAAATTCTTCATCTTTCCTGAATTTATTTCATCTAATGTTCATCAGTTTTCTCTAGGCATTTTCCAAATGTGACTAACTTTCATTCCATATCTTAAAGATTCTCCAACTTTCACTGGCATATGTAAATATATAATATGGTTTTTAAAACATTCAGAGTATAAGCTTATATAACATGTTAGCCTTAAAACATATCCCCCCCCCCCCCCCACCCACTTTGAGATGGTGGTGGAGGGTGTCTGTTGCCATCTTTCAGAAACAGATATTGTGAGGGGCCCCTTTGGAGCAAGAGAACAGTGTTGAAGCACAAACAGATCATAGTCTGAGGAGAATGGCGCTGCAGGGAGTATCCAGCCGATGTTCAGCACTCAGGGGAAAGGTGAAACGGATGTACAATTAGAAGTTACTGGTACCATCAGAATTTTACCCTTCGCTTGCTGCTGAAGATGGGGATGGAGTGCTTATGGGAATGTCCTGAGTGCTATGGTGTCGCTTCTTAATTCCAAATTTCAGAAATGAAGTGAAAGCACTGATCTGAATCTCATGATAGATCTAGTATACCTAAAATTTAGCAGCTGTGTTTTAGCTGTTAGTTTGTGATGTAGAAATCACAAGTACTGCCTGTTTTTAAAAAAAAAAGTGTGTTGTATATCCCAAATAGGATGTTGCATACCCAGTCCTTGTAAAGAAAAAAATGGGTGGGGGGGGGGGGGGGGGGGGGGGGGGGGTTTTAGTTTGCTAGGCAATTTTGCGTTAAGTAGTTTGTCACTGCCTTCTTAATGGTCAGTGTCACTGCCAGTACAAACACAGGGTGGTCTGCTGCCAAATCTGCAGCTGGAATCGAATTCTGGAACCTCCGAATTACAGAGCATGTTCGCAAAGCCTAAGCCATAGATGCAAACATAGTTGCTAGATAACCTGTTGCACTCACCATATCCAGTTGTATAATAAAACTAACTGACATTGTTTATCACAGACTTCTTCATTGTAATTTGTTTGGAGGCAGTCCCAGTCGTTGTTTAACATGGGCAGACAATTTTATACAGAATTAAATACAGTTGTCCCTGTGTGGGTTCTTCTTCTTTGTTCACCGGCTGTAAGCTCCGGCAGAATGTCCTGGTTATTCGTCACTTTGGCTTTATGCCAGGGCTTGAGTTTTGTACGTACATCTGTGTTACTGGCTTATTAGTGGGCACTGCTGGTTGTTCTTTGCTGCTCAGGCAGATGCACTCTTGACATGTTTGTTCGGGAGGCAGTAGGTCTATTCTTGTTTGCAACACAATGGGGCCCAGAAACCCATACAGGGCATGTGGGTTCAAAGGCCCCATTTTGGTCGAATAAAAAAAAAATAGACCCACTGGCCCCCCTAACAAACATGCTGTAAAAGGTGACTACAAAACAGCTTGATGATCTGGACTTCGCTGATATTTCTCATTGGTCTCATTCACGGAATCAGATGCAAGATAAATTAAATATACTTGATATGTGATCACAGCAGCTTGGTCCAATAAAGGAAAGACAAAGATAATGAGAATAAATCAGGCAAATAGTAGCGTGGTTTCTCTTAATGGCACCCTGCTCCAAAACTTGAGTCGTACACCTATTTGGGCAGTAATGTAGATAAAGATGGAGGAACTGATAGAGATATTAAAATAAAAATACAAAAGGCAAGAGGAGCTTTCATAGCACTAGGGAATTTGTGGAGGTCAATAGAAATACTAAACCAAAAATTTTTAATTCTAATGTCAAATCAGTACTTTTGTATGGGGCGGAAACATGAACAACTAAGGCAATTACTGATAAATAACACATCCATTAACTGGTGCCTGCTCAAAACAGAGGGAATTAAATGGTATGATAGAATAATAAAACAGGCTCCAGTGGACCAAGAGGTGAGGAAAAGACGTTGGCGTTGGATAGGACACACACTGAGAAAACAGGAGAACTAGAATGTCTTTGTATTGGAACCCACAGGGGCATAGGAATAAAGGAAGGCCCAAAAAAAAAACACATGGAGAAGAGAGCTGGAGAATGAAGTTAGAAAGATGGGGAGAGCTCCATGTAATGGCAAAGGATAGAACGACTTGGCGTGAGTTGGTTGAGGGCCTATGCTCCATTGGGGGACAAAAAGGCAGAAGAAAAAAAGGTGACTAATTAGAAGTGTGCTGAAATCAGATGTGTTGGGCTAAAAGGCAGAGATAGTGCAGCCTTGTTGTAAACTACATTTGCAGCTGAATCTAGAAAAGAAGAAAGACAACTATGCATGAACATGCTAGCCAGAGTGGTACAGTGATTGGTGCACTTTGTTGGAAAAGTAGCCTAGGTTTAACTCCAAAAATGACAGGAATTTGCCTATCAGTAGTTAAAGGTGAGGGGATGGCCTTCATCCGGGATGGTTGGTCGCTTTCTCTCTAGGGTACGTATGAAGTTGGAGGTATATGTCGCTGGGAATCAAGGCAGTGACACAGCTAGATCTCTAGTGATAGGTGGCTTGTGTACTTCACAGTGAGAGCTCTAGTGGTAGGTGGCTTGTGTACTTCACAGTGAGATCTCTAGTGGTAGGTGGCTTGTGTACTTCACAGTGAGAGCTCTAGTGGTAGGTGGCTTGTGTACTTCACAGTGAGATCTCTAGTGGTAGGTGGCTTGTGTACTTCACAGTGAGATCGCTCGTGGTAGGTGGCTTGATATACTTCACAGTGAGGGCTCTAGTGGTAGGTGGCTTGATATACTTCACAGTAAGAGCGCGTGGTAGGTGGCTTGTGTACTTCACAGTGAGATCGCTCGTGGTAGGTGGCTTGATATACTTCACAGTGAGGGCTCTAGTCGTAGGTGGCTTGATATACTTCACAGTGAGATCTCTAGTGGTAGGTGGCTTGTGTACTTCACAGTGAGGGCTCTAGTCGTAGGCGGCTTGATATACTTCACAGTGAGGGCTCTAGTGGTAGGTGGCTTGTGTACTTCACAGTGAGAGCTCGTGGTAGGTGGCTTGATATACTTCACAGTGAGGGCTCTAGTGGTAGGTAACTCAACTTCACAGTGAGAGCTCTAGTGGTAGGTGACTCAATATACTTCACAGTGAGATCTCTAGTGGTAGATGACACGATATTCTTCACAGTGACAGCTCTAGTGGTAGGTGACTCAATATACTTCACAGTGAGATCTCTAGTGGTAGATGACACGATATTCTTCACAGTGACAGCTCTAGTGGTAGGTGACTCAATATACTTCACAGTGAGATCTCTGGTAGGTGGCTTGATATACTTTACAGTGAGAGCTCTAGTGGTAGGTGGCTTGATATACTTCACAGTGAGAGCTTTAGTGGTAGGTGGCTTGATATACTTCACAGTGAGAGCTCTAGTGGTAGGTGGCTTGATAAATTTCAGTGAGAGTTCTAGTGGTAGGTGGCTTGATAAATTTCACAGTGAGAGTTCTAGTGGTAGGCAACTATGGCACCACAATAAAGCCCTGAGTTGGTTGAGGGCCTATGCTCCATTGGGGGACAAAAAGGCAGAAGAAAAAAAGGTGACTAATTAGAAGTGTGCTGAAATCAGATGTGTTGGGCTAAAAGGCAGAGATAGTGCAGCCTTGTTGTAAACTACATTTGCAGCTGAATCTAGAAAAGAAGAAAGACAACTATGCATGAACATGCTAGCCAGAGTGGTACAGTGATTGGTGCACTTTGTTGGAAAAGTAGCCTAGGTTTAACTCCAAAAATGACAGGAATTTGCCTATCAGTAGTTAAAGGTGAGGGGATGGCCTTCATCCGGGATGGTTGGTCGCTTTCTCTCTAGGGTACGTATGAAGTTGGAGGTATATGTCGCTGGGAATCAAGGCAGTGACACAGCTAGATCTCTAGTGATAGGTGGCTTGTGTACTTCACAGTGAGAGCTCTAGTGGTAGGTGGCTTGTGTACTTCACAGTGAGATCTCTAGTGGTAGGTGGCTTGTGTACTTCACAGTGAGAGCTCTAGTGGTAGGTGGCTTGTGTACTTCACAGTGAGATCTCTAGTGGTAGGTGGCTTGTGTACTTCACAGTGAGATCGCTCGTGGTAGGTGGCTTGATATACTTCACAGTGAGGGCTCTAGTGGTAGGTGGCTTGATATACTTCACAGTAAGAGCGCGTGGTAGGTGGCTTGTGTACTTCACAGTGAGATCGCTCGTGGTAGGTGGCTTGATATACTTCACAGTGAGGGCTCTAGTCGTAGGTGGCTTGATATACTTCACAGTGAGATCTCTAGTGGTAGGTGGCTTGTGTACTTCACAGTGAGGGCTCTAGTCGTAGGCGGCTTGATATACTTCACAGTGAGGGCTCTAG